GTTCTTTGTTTCTATTTAAGCGACACTCTAGAAATATCCACATCAACAGTCCAAAATTGCAACAATAGGAATCCAGAAAGTTGCGGATTATAAAATAAAAATTAATTCTGGTCATGTTTCGGCTTGTGGCACTTTTTAAAGTAAATGAGCATATTATAAGATCACGGATGTATAATTTATATATATATATATATATATATATATATATATTCTCAAGGTAAAAAACCACGTTAAGTATCTATTTGTATTTGAAAAATATATTTTATTTACGGCTTTGACAAAAACGCTAGCTTGATTTAGGTTTTAAATCGCGCAGTTATAATGATTTTTTGAATTGTGGCAATTTTGGGAAGTGAGTAGACATTTTTCCGTTTGTTGAAGTGTAGAAACAAACTCAAGTGTTTTTTTACATGGTGTAGATTGTAGAGAACAGCTATTTTTGAGTTTACCCGAGACTTTATTTATTATTATGGACAATGTTCCATATCATTGTGGGCTTATTGAGATACTCCCCAAATTTAAAGTGAAACATAAACGTATAGTTTACGAAATTTAAACCAATTATGAAATAATCCCAAACTTTTATAAAATACCGCACGTCGCTGGCATTTTATGAATGAAACCAGCCATGTTTTGCTTTCCCCTCACCGATACCCCGATGTTGCAGATCCGTTTGCCAAACTTTAGTCAGTCGCTTGTATTGGTACAAAACTTTTTCGTTAGTTTTCGTGCTTTTTCATAATTATTGTATCATTTATAAAATGATTTTAGAGGTATTTTATATGTAGCGGGATTTATAAGGAAGTAGAAGAAATGCACAAAAAGAATAATATGCGTTGTTTTTTAATGAAAACCCAGTGGATAAATGATCTCGAATAAAAAACAGGGAGATGGTTTTCTTTATGCCGAGGGTTTATAAACTGAGCCAGATAAATATTGCTTTTAGTATTTAGAAATAAGATAGGGAAGGAAATATGTTTGTTCGTATAAGAACAATGAAATAGCTAGAAATTTTCTCTTGAAGTCCATTCTTGCTATTATTCCATCTACTCTGTTTTTAAAAAATAAGTTAAAAATTATATTTTACTTTTAATGTATATATTTTGAGAACTGTTACATTTTTCTATGAATAATAATGAAGATATTTTTTATGTACCTATAAATGGGTAATAAATATTAGAGTTGTTTTTCTATATAACTTATCAAGATACCATTGGAAATATTCCTAGAAGCCCATTAAGGTATATACGCGCTTACGAAAACCATACGATGCAGTAGTCATATAGTTTGCCGTCAGCCGTGTTCAGCATCCACTCGTTTGACAAGTTGACCGTATTAGGATATTTGCAATTTTGTTCTACAGGGCAGTTTTACAAGCTTTTTTGATTGATGCACAGATGTTGATATTATTGAAATAAAACATGAATACATTTCTTGAAACAACCGCACGTAGCATTACATTGATGTAGATGGCACAGCCAACTCTATCCAGGCATGTTCCAATTTTATAAAATATTATTTTCAAAGGTCTAAAAAAATTAGCAATATATTCAACCGTTTTTTTAAGGGAAAATATCCGTGGCTTTTCAGGTCGCTGATGGCGGATCTGTTATGAAAATCACCAAATTCTCAAAACGGGGAACCGTATTCGGGAACGGTTCCTTAATTTATAAAACTGTACCAAAATAATAAGGTTGTTTTACTTCAAAACCCCAGAACGGTTCTTTTTATCGTAACTACTTCAGTGGTCGAACAGTGCGCGGAAAGCTATTGAAAGATTTAGTCAGTCCACAGGAGTTAATGAATCTTGGAGGGTCCGGTCTTGTGAAATTTCTATGTGTCGGACCGTACAAAAAGCGACATTGCTGGAAGTATTTTCTCACTGTACGCAGATTACTTGTGCGTGAAAATTGTTCCTTAAAACCAGACCACGCAATTCTCCGTACGGAAGGCGCCGCGAGAGAATTAATACACTATTATACAATAAGTGGTGACTGAAGACTGGCTGAATGTAATTAAAATACGTGAGAAATCAAATACCATGAAATTGCATATCTCCATTACGTCTGTAAATCCAGTTGTGGTGAACATTTGAGCGATATTATTTTTCATACATAAATGGTATAAATGAACCTTCAAAATAAAGTACCCAACTTGATTTGAATATCAATCTTCCTTGTTTTAATATGCGTTTACTTTCCTGCGTCCGTTTTGGACAACCCCATACTTCGTTAGTTAACCATAAATTTGTTATTGAATGAAAATTATAAGAAAATATAAAGATATGGTGAAGCCTGAATACGAAGTGAAAACTTTATTGATGGTAATAACAATAATAGCCATAAATAAGCAGAGGTCTTCACAGTCTTCCAAACTCTGTTGCTATCCAAACAAATGAAATCTGATAATTTTAAGGCCTACCTAGGAATTTCTGGAATAACTAAAGTTTTGCAATGTCAATGTATAACATATACATTTTTGAAATCAGAATAAAAATTCTATTCATGTATGCAGGAATCCAATATGGCATCTATAAAAAAAATTAATTGATGCTCGAGGACAAGACACGAAACTTTATATTGAAATTCTAATTGTGCCGTCTTGTAGAGGAGAAAATGTGGCAGAGTTGATGTGCAATTTACTATATTTTGTCCACCATAAATAAAGTCAGGAGAAAATTAAAACCATTTTGGGAAATTTCGTTTTTTACGTTTTTTTCCGGAAGTACTTTAAATTTCTAAAGTTTCTAAGCTACAATTTGCTGATTATCTCAATACGCAACTTTTCCCCTATTTAAGGGACTTGTATAGGGAAAATATTATTTTCGTGCAGAAACAGTCGGTCACTCCTTCTCCGTGGGCACCCGTGAAAAAGAAGCTGTATCACAAAATCTCCAGAATTCGTTATTTTGTTTTTTTTTTCATCAGCATTGGGCTGGACTTACGTAGCTAGAATATACATATACATACTGTTTGTGCATACATTTCGAGGCTGGGTGACAAAGGAACAAAAACTATACTATCTGAGTTTTATTAAAAGTCATTCACAATAATTTGTACATTTCTCATTTCTTAATCAGTGCAGACGTTTGTTCAGAATTCTTACTATGTACTTACTTCTTCAACTTGTCAATTGATGTGAGAAATCATATTTCTTCGAATTTACGTTTATACTTTATATATGAGAATTGACATTTTTTTTTTCTATAAAGTGTCCAGGTTTTCATCTCTAGAGGAAAATTCGAGCACATTCGGGCAGTTGAACTAAAAACCCTAGATCATTCTGGTTTACAGCAAATGAACATACCTCAACTTCTCTAAAATTGTCTACTTCATTCTGAAAAATTTTACATCCGAATAATGATTGTACTTGATTTCGAGCTCCGACAATTTACTGGCAAATTATCTACTGACTAATTTGACAGTCATCAAACAGTCAGAAGTTTCTGTACGAACAGCGGATTACTTGTCGGTAATCGGTCTTACCTTTCTCAGCCAACTCGTAACGTTCTCATGTATGCAATCAACACAGTCAGCGACGTGTCAGTGACAGCTAACTGCGTAAACTAAGACATGACTTGTCGCCGACTATCAGTTTGCTGATTGTCAACAAACAGGCTGTACGAACAAACTATAGGTCTTGAGTAGTGATAGTTGTTTGTTTACGTCGTTGTTATAGTTTTTTTCTCTATTACGCTTGAAGCTGATTTATACTGTTCTGATTGTTATTAGTTTTTACGTCAAAACTGTACTCGCAATATGGAACTAGCCCACTGTTTGTCTTTTGTTTCCATGGATGATGTGATTTTTTTCCTTAATTTTGATGTGTTGTTCTATTAAAAGCTCAAAATCTAGTGATTTTATCTGAATCAAACCTTATACCAAAAAAAGTTTATAAGAAATTGAATCCAAACTTGCACAAATATACAGGGTGATGCATTTTAAATTTTTTAGAAAAAGTACAATTAGCGTTTTTCACCACCCTGTATGAGTAAAAATGAAAATTCGAAAAAGTAAAAAATAGGATAAAAGCTGAGGTATGTAAGTTTTTTTGATACAAAATTCAGCACCTCAAATTTCAAAATTATGGATTGAGGGGTTGCCGAAGTGGACAAAATACCTTACATCTCAGTAGCTAAACCCCATAGTATGTTATATCAATCTTCTTCTTTTGAATTGGTTTATCCAAATATGCAATGAAATTAGAGGCATTCTATTTAAAAAATCACAACTTTGATATGTAGGTCAAAATTAGGACACTCTGTATAATTGCCAATATTTTAGAAATGTGCCCTCAAAGGTCATGTATGACATGCCATGAATAGATTTTCCCAAAATGTATTTGTTTATGAGTAATATTCCGTCCACGCATGGATGGGCCACTCTGAATATGCGAAAATTTCTGACCCTCAAGAGATGGAACACTATCCCAGAAAATGGTTGCTTGACAAATAAGACCCCTCCTTCCAGAAGTTTTCCGTTGAGCCTCTAGGTTCTAGGAAAAGAGTTTGGTAATTATCGCTTCTTAAGTGGTTTCACGTGATGATATCACGCATTCTCAGTAAAAGATTAAAATCAGGAAATCAAACACGAAATATCCATTTTCATTCTCAGAAATCAAGAGCAAATTTCAATATCTACCATGTATACGGGTGAATATGATAAAGTTGGTTAACTTTTGGAGATATGTTGTTTGCTATAGTTTTTAAATGAAATTTCTATAAATTCGGGTATTTAAGATAGATAGTCTAAGGAATATTTTATTGCAAATCCGATCAGTAGCAGATTTTGGGATAATTCGAACTTTCCGAAATTGAGTACCTCAATGTACTGACGAGAATATCATAGGTCTGTTAGAATACACAATTTTATAAGAAACATATACACTTCATTAAAACTTTGAACCAATTTCTTACAAACGATTTTATCTCAATAATTTCCCCTGAACGCAATACTTCGCAAAACGAAGCAACCACCAAAAAGCCCATTTGGTAAGTCGGTAGATTTCCAGTTCATATTAATTTTTCAATCACCCATCTATGTTTCCAACGGCCATCAAATTTTATGTCGAGTTGTGAGCAGAAAAGAACCTTCATCTGATCAAGCATTGATTTGAACAGATAACAAAATCAGCACTTCAAACTCATATTTTTCCATCCACTGTTGTATGCACTTCTAATCAAGTACCTACTAAGGTATAAACAGACAAAAAACTAGAGTCAACCGAGGCTCCTATTGTATTTGTCAACATGGGGCTAACAACTGTACAACTGGCGGTGGTGCTAGCATTAGCCACATCATGCCACGCCCAGAAAAACAACAATTTTGCCCCTGGGAGAAACTCCATCGTGCAGATGTTTGAATGGTCATGGGATGATATTGCAAATGAATGTGAGCAGTTTTTGGGACCCAAAGGATTTGCAGGAGTCCAGGTAAGTATTTCTTCGGATCCACACATATTTGTCGGCCGGTCTTCATCATTTCCGAGCGCGCATTCTCAGTAACTGGTGTGCCGATCTTGTACGATATATGATGACATTTTCCTAAAAGGTTTCTACTGTGACAAGTACGAAAAAGCTTTTTAATTCTTGAAAATCGGTCAAGTGATAGCAGAGCTAAAGGCAAAAAGCGAAACTTTGTTTTTTGACATTTCACAAGCTCCTGATCATTTTCAAAAATGTTGTTGTAGAAGCTCAATATTGAGGGGCTGTATGGGGTGGGGGAGGGTATACCTCAATGTCTTGGCATTAGTATATGTATACATTTCCAATCCCGGTAATTCTATGAACTGATCAGACATATTTCATGCATCATCTACGAGTATTTCCCCGTACTCGTACATCTGGCCTTAGAACTAAGAATTATAGAGACCTATTCCTAAAACACGCGACTCTGGATATGGATATACTTGCGTTGCTGTGTGACCGATGGTTGTAAGTTTCGTAGTCGGTGGTGGCTGCCGTGGTACCCTTTCTAGCGATTGCCGAGGTTAGTCATATCGACGTTGCCAGACGGTCGGCACTGTCGGTAGAGCAGATGAGAAATTTATATATCACAGCGATGTCAAATGAGAAGAGACTATGGTCTTATTGTATGTGCCTATTTTTGACTCACTTGATCCGTTTAGTTTTTCTATTATACATGCTCGTAGCTAACTCTTATCTCACTGTGCCGAAAATAATTATTTATTAATCATTTATGAACGGATAACAGAATTAAGAAGTGTAGAGTAAACCTTCTTGGCATCATATGTTGAGTCTTGACAACTTTTATCGGTTACGCACTCAAAGAAGATATTGATAACCGCTGCTTTTCATATGATAACACAGTAACACTACAATAGGAATAAGTGCACACACCCGATAGGTAATTAAAAATATCTATTAGATTACCTTAAATCGCTCATACTTCAACTAGCCGATCAAATTACGTAAACACCTGAAACAATGGAACAAACATTTAGGATGCATTTATTCAATGTACGAAATTTTGTATAAAAAATACAGAACGATATATAGAAAACATATACATAACTAGCAAAAATTGTCGCAAACAAACAAAAGGTACAGGCCCTTTTTTCATAGTCAACATCGGTTTTCGATGGCACATGGTAACTAACAAAGGCTTTTGAATTTGTGAACTGTGATTTAAAAGTTTTCGATTTCTAGATATCTCCTCCTTCTGAAAACATTATCGATGGTGATGAAAGAAGATGGCAGGAAAGATATCAACCAATCAGCTACAGTCTCAATACCAGATCTGGAGATGAAGGCGCCCTTAAGGATATGATAAGAAGATGCAACAATGCGGGAGTAAGGTACCGTTAATCTAATTCTGTTAATGGACGTTTAGAACCACCTCTTGGCAATGAACCTTAGTTTTCTTTTACAGCTCGAATTTCCAATATTAAAATTTGAGAGCATCAAATTCAATATATTATACTTGTTGACAATGTACCAATATTCCGTTAATTGCAAAATTGCTGCAATCCACGGAACATGGATGGAAAAAACGCGCTAGTTCATGATGTCTGGTACTACCAATGATTTTTTTTAAAAGGATATATCCTGACCTTGTGATCAACCATATGGCTGCAGTGCAAGGATCTGGAACGGATGGAAACAGCTGCGATCCAGGATCCAGATCTTATCCAGCGGTTCCATATGGCTCACTTGATTTCCACGCGTCATGTGCTATAGAAAACTACGATGATCCTAAAGAGAGCAGGAACTGCGAACTTCTCGATCTACCAGACTTAGATCAGGTAAATACGAAAATCAATCGTGTCCCTCCCTAACACTCCACAGGATCAGTACCTTCTTTCTTTGTCTCTCTAAAGTTATGCGTCCATAGGTCCACATCATATTGTTCTCTCCTGTTTAGTAGTGGGTCTTCTATATCACTAGCACCGGTATTTTGGTCTATGCTCTAATATTGGGAATGCGATTTAATGACACGTGCATCAATCTGCAATCCATATGACGTCATCAGCACGCGTCGAAACAGTTGTTCTTTCGAGATATTCGAATTGCCTATTTGGTGCGTATTATATATGCGACATTATGTTCGAATAATTATAAAATGTACTGCAAACCTCTGAACACAGAGCTTAAAGGAAATATGTAATACATTTCTTGATTTGAAAATAGATTTTTTATGATAAAACCCTTGAGAAGACCGGGATCTACATTGATTTCTATATTCCAGAGTAAGCAACACGTCCGTGACAAGATAGTCAAGTATATGAATCACTTGATAGGCTTGGGAGTCGCAGGATTTAGAGTTGGCGCAGCAAAACATATGTGGCCCGCTGATTTGGACGCCATTTTCGGCAGTGTGAACAATCTCAACACGTATTTTTTCCCTGCAAAGTCAAGGCCTTTCATTTACCAAGAAGTAATTGATTTCGGTAAGAATTTATCATTAGGTTTGGCAAAAACAAGAAAGTCACAAATCATCCCTAATTCATTTTTAGCAAATTAAAAAATAGTGACAATTTTAGGATGTAGTCGAATGTTTTGTAGTGCATATAGTTTGGACAAAAGTCTGCATTTTGGTATCTCTAGGTGGCGGCAATATTACAAGAGAAGAGTACCTCGGATTTGGCAATGTTTTGGAATTTAAGCACGGTGTCGAACTTACCAAGTTATTCACGGGCAACAACCGACTAGCGAACCTCAGAAACTGGGGACCTAAATATGGTTTAATGCCGGCACATGATTCTGTAGTTTTCATTGAGAACCACGACACGCAGAGAAGCGGTATAGGAGGCATCGAAATCCTTACTTACAAGCAGCCCAAGGAATACAAAATGGCAACCGCTTTCATGTTAGCGCACCCGCATGGTTAGTACATTTTTTATATATAATATTCATACTAGACCATTGTTTAACGCATTCTCCACAAAGACAGGGTGTCGCTCACAGGACTGCAGCGACCGATTACTCAAAAAGCTGACGTAATACAATTAAGGACATTATGGTCTGGAGTACGTATAACTGATGGCGATAATTGGATTAAAATTATATCAAAACTGTGGTACTTCCGGTTGGACCGGAAGCAGATAGAACCAACTTACTTAATAACAATTTTTTTTCGTATTTTTTACTTTGCCGTATGAATTATAATGGGTTTCTTATAGTAGAGATCCTAGTTTTGTAGATTTTGTTCCAGATTTTGATAACAAATAGTACAGGGTACTGAAAAAAAGATAATCGAAATGAGATTTAAAAACCCAAAAAGTAATTGTTTAAGTGGAAACCTTTTTTATAATTTCATCGTATAAGGTACTGAAAACAATGTTGATTTTCTACTTAAAAAATTAGAAGTTTCCGAGATATATGGAAATATTGGTTCTTCTTTGGCTTAAATAAGCCATGATAGTCTTTTTTCAAAAGTCAGTCTCAGTTCGCTATGACGATGGTAGTTCACCCTATTTCCGCCACGGTCAACTGAGAATATTTAACGGTAAAAGCCGTATGGAACAATTGAACAAAAACAGAACCGGTATTTCCAGATATCTCGAAAACTATTAATTTACAGAGTAGACAACTTTATACAGAATTAACCTTATTTAGAAAAAAAAAATACTTTCTAGGTTTTTTTAAATCTAATATTCGTTGTATATTTTTTTTTCTTTTATGACCCTATATTAGTTGTTATCCAAGCCTAGAGAAAAAAATCAACTAAATTAGGTTCCCTATTATACGGAAACCGTTACAAATCATATAGCAAAGACTAAAATATCAGAAGAAATTGTGTAAACGTATTGGCTTTGTCATTTTTTACGTAAACTTTGAGATATTCCAAAAACAGTTAGACTTAGGTATATAAACAAGAAGCATTTACAGAGCGTTCCATTCAAAATAAGCAAGTTGGTATCTACTTCCAGCACGAGCGGAAGTGCTACTATTCGAAAACATTTTAGCCCAAGTGCACCCATCATTGTTTCTAACGACTCCAAATTTTCATAGGACCCTGAATAATCAATTTCATTTTCCTACTACAGGGGAAACGACTCGTCTATTCTCTGGTTACAGCTTCGATAGCGATCAGCAAGGGCCACCAGGCAATGGATGGGTTAATGAGCACAGATGGAGCCAGATTTACAACATGGTTGAATTCAGGAACGTTGTAGCAGGTAAGACAATTTAATTTTGTAGACCGAGTGCCAAATTCACTTCAACAAGAAAATAATTCACCTCAGAACCTATGCGATGATGCCGCGGAATGTTCTCGTTCATGTATGTGTCGCGAGGATACAAATCATCATATTGAAACCTCGATTGATAAAATTAACTTAGGATGTTTGTTTGGTAAACATTTCAATCGGGAATAGGGAATATCCTCAGATGGCTCGAATTATTTACGAGGACTGATCCCTATGTTCGACCCCTAACCCACTAGAAATGAAGCTATATTCAGTTAACACATTTTTTATTCTCCTACATAATTCCAATTAGCATCAACAAGCTTGCTGAATTGGTTCGTCAGCCTTTCAGTAAAATTTTTGTCGTGCTGCTGAAACCCAATTCTCTACGGCACAAAGCTTGAAATTTTCATCTCGAAAATGTTCTCTGTATCTTAGAAATAGTCTAAAATTACTTGGGTCCAGTTTTGACGAATGCGCTGGGTTACATGCCAATCCAGAACCTGCTCGAAGTCGAGCAGCTATAGCAATGGAAGAGGTGTGGCTGGGAGTATTATCCTGGTGAAGCAATCCAGAGAAGGCCCACTGCCATTCCAGTTTTCATAAGACTTAAAATTTCAACAGTCCCCAAAATATTTTGATAAATTTTAGTGGGCGTCATGCCCTTTTTTCGGAGACATTACGACCCTTTGCTCAGTAAGACCCATTTCTATGAAAATTTTTGTCAAATATACACCAATTCGCATAGAACATCAAAACAGTTGTAACGTGAACACCGTCTTTTGCTATCAAAAGACTATTTTATTACCTTAACAAAAATTATAACACTTGCAACCAATTTATAACTATGTCTACTAGACTATTATTACATCTTAATTGAAGCGTATAAATGCAAACCCAGACATTAGACGTATAAGTGGTTTTGAGTAAAATGCAAATAACCTCTCAAAATCTTAGGTTTAGTCCAATCAAGTTCATGTTTTGACTAAAATATCCAATATTTTGATAGTGATGAGTACTGCTTCATAAAAATATATTTGACTTAATAACAAAAAGATATTTTGGTTAAAAAATTATACATGTCTTGTTTTGTACCTGAGACTTGCAAATATCTGGTTATGTATCTTAATAAACACTAGATTGTGTATATACCTATATGAAGTAACTATGATAATGATAATGAAGGAAGGTAATAGAATCAAGTAATCTTCAAAGAAAATGATTTTAATGGGCAAATGAACACAACTAAATTCTCAAGTCTGTATCTTCAGTGTCTGTTAATCACCATCTCTTCTTCAGGATCTCTAGCTTCCGCCTGACTAACATTTTCCAATTCAAAAGCGTTTTTGAAGAAATGAAGCCTTGCATCAGTTACCCAATCCACCCCATAATGTTGTGCTACCAGAGCTGATATGCTTTTTATTTTATCTGCCGCCAGATCACATGACTAAGCAGTCACGCTCGGATTGGCTTAAAGGCAAATGTCTGCTTTTGCACGTAACCGGGGTACATAAATATCTGCTTTTGCATCTAAAACCAAATTTCAAGTGCGAATAACGGCTTAAGATGTCTGCCTATGGACTTGAGGGTCAGAAAATCGTAATCCCGGACATTTTTGCATGTGGAGTCCATATATAACTGATTTTTTTCAAAAATGTCAAATGTCTGGGTTTGCATTTATACGCTTCAATTGACAGTCATCAAATAACGAGGTAATAGGGTCAAGGACCGAGCATAAATATCAACCATCATAATCTGGCAAAATTACTTTCGCAAGTATGCTTGGCAAAACCTCAAAATTTTTCATATACTGTTGCTGATGGCCTTTGATGTTCCAGGTACTAAATTAACTAACTGGTGGACCGACGGCAACCAGCAGATAGCGTTCAGTCGAGGCAACAAGGGCTTCGTCGCATTCACGGTTGCCGGAGACATCAATGCAGACATACGGACCTCACTTCCGGCGGGGACCTACTGCGATCTCTTTACCGGCATTAAATTGAAAAATTTCTGTACTGGAAAGGTCGTCAAAGTCGATAGAAGCGGTAAAGCGCGCGTTAAGGTCAATGCCAAGCTTGATGGGGCTCTCGCTATTCATGTAAAAGCTAGACTGTAGTCAAAGTTATGAATCCTGTAATATACGTGTGACTTGAACAAATATTTTTATGTGTATTACGGTGCGTTTCCTTTCTTTTCCAATACCCCAAAGCCTTCTGCAATCCTGCAAGAGCTTCACTGGATGCGTGGATCTTAGCTTTTCTATGCTCCCAATAACAAATCTCAACGCCGAATGATGCTTCTGCGAAGAAAGTTTGAATCCGGATCACAGAAGCACCGACAGATATTTGTATGAAGAATATTTGCCTCCACTTCGATGCCAGGAGTGAGTCACTTCCTCATGTTTCTATGTTCCTGGTATCAAATCTTTAAAACCGGACTTGCTATGAAGTAGTTTGATCAGACGTGATTTAGCTAACATGAAATTTCGTATCCGAAGTGCAGTAACTTTTAGAGGTCTTTGGATGAAGAATTTGAATTTCCGCCTATTTGACACCAGGAGCAAATTGAGTTTTCCATGCCTCCTCCTGGACTTTCAGATTTTTATCAGAAGCAATATACTTTTTTGTACCTCATCGCATTTCTATGCTTTCGGTAGCAAGTCTGCAACGACTGATTTTGATGAGTCTGTCAGGTGGTTTGACAAGGTGTGGATCTGTAGCGAAGTAGATTTACTCGTCGCGAGCACAGAAACGTTGAGAGGTATTTGCATTAAGAGTTTGAATAACATACGAGTAAAGCAATTCACCATTTCAAAAATAAGAAATCACCTGGACTTGATGTATTAAAACCCCATCGGACTAGTGGTGAAAGTTACTCTACCACACTACCACAAGGATTTATGAAAGGAAATGGAATCCTCACAGCAGTCCACTATGCGTGCGTGGTCTATAAAGAAAACGTTTCGATGCTGTCAACCAAGTGCAGATTCAGGAGGGTCATGAGATGAGTCATGACCCCCCTGGGCCAATCTACTTTGACTTTGACCACTAATATTTATAACTTTCGATTTTTTTATGAATTTAATAAACTAAATACTTTTTGCAAATATGTAATGGCCGATACGACCGCTACTTTGTCCCGAGGGTGTCCAGATTGTGGAACAATCTACAAGTTTTTCGCAGTTTTACTAACCTTACGCAGTTCAAAAATCGGATTAACAAAATTTCTTTGGGATCCTCATAGCAGCCACGGTGTCCCGGCATTTAGGCTTCTGCCTGCGCGGCTGCTTCGGTATATAAAACAAATACACACGGGTGAAAAATCACCACACTTGGCAACTCTGATCAATTTGTATGCGCATCGATGACGGCGTGGAAATAAGAGGGTTGCGTAAGTCTGATTGTCTATACGTTCAACTTGACTCAAAAATAAAAAATAGTGACTCTGCATTTTCCGTTTGTTAGCACTTCATTCTTGGAAATTGAGCCTCACGTGTTCTGTAATTAGGGTAGTTAACTGAAGATTCAGACGTATATATACGAATATAATAAAACATTTTCGCCCTCGCCTTTAACGCTGTAAGCATCATAGTTATCTAGCCATAAGAGTGTTCAAATCTCGCTCTCTTCATCTATTAGCTCACAAACATATACAGAGAAATTCAAATATCACTGACGAGGTAATGAGTATGAGAGAGAAGCGTATGTTAGCAAGAGTGCGCTATGGCGTGGTGCTTCTATCTCTTTCTAACATACGTATTGCATGCTTCTCTCTCGCACATAATATGACATCAGGATGTCTCTGGATACTACTTCATCATATGCATGATACTTTTTATTCATAACTATTGTATTTGATACTCTCGAAATAAACTTCTCGATCCCGGAGAAACAGGTCCCTAAAGGAGACGTCGTTGGAAATAGGTGTATCTTAAATAATTTTCACATATCGTCGCTTAAGTTTTTCAGGTCGCTGATGGCGGATCTTTTATGAAAATCACCAAATTCTCAAAACGGGGAACCGTATTCGGGAACGGTTCCATAATTTATAAAACTGTACCAAAATAATAAGACTGTTTTACTTCAAAACCCCAGAACGGTTCTTTTTATCGTAACTACCTCAGTGGTCGAACAGTGTGCGGAAAATTATTGAACGATTTAGTCAGTCCACAGGAGTTAATGAATGGAGGATGTCAACCTGCAAACTCGGATGCATATTTACTTCTAACATGACGGCGCACCTGCGCATGATCATAATCGTGTGCGTAACTAATTTGACACCTGGAGTAACAATCGTTGAATCGGTCGTGATGGGCCTATATCTTGGCCTCTTAGATCACCAGATATGACACCGATGGACTTCTTTCTATGGTGCTACGTTAAACAAAAGGTTTATAGATATCCACCATCTACCCCGGAAAATATGAAGGAAAAGATTAAGGATGCTTGTCTGAACATAAGGGAACACATGCTGCGGGATGTGCAACGGTCATTTATCCAAAGACTGACAACATGATGGAGATATTTTCGAGCAGTTTTTGTAGATTATGTCTTGAGTAGTGATAGCTGTTTGTTTATGTTGTTGTTATAGTTTTTTTCTCTATTACGCTTGAAGCTGATTTATACTGTTCTGATTGTTATTAGTTTTTACGTCAAATCTGTACTCTTAGTGACAATATGGAACTAGCCCACTGTTTGTCTTTTGTTCCCATGGATGATGTGATTTTTTTTTCTTAATTTTAGTGTGTTGTTCTATTAAAAGCTTAATAACGCAAAATCTAGTAATTTTATCAGAATTAAACCTTGTACCAAAAAAAAATTTATAAGAAATTGAGTCCAAGCTAATATACAGGGTGATGCATTTGAAATTTTTGAGAAAAAGTACAATTCCCGTTTTTGAGCACCCTCTATAAGCAAAAATGAAATTTCGAAAAAGTAACAAATAAAATAAAAGCTGAGGTATGTAAGTTTTTTATACAAAATGCGGCAATTTCAAAATGGCGGATTGAGGTGTTGACGAAGTGGACGGCTTTTCTGGATAAAACACCTTACATCTCAGTAGCTAATTACCAAGACCCCATTGTATCTTATATCAATCTTCTTCTTTTGAATTGGTTTATCCAAATATGCAATAAAAATTGAGGCATTCCATTTAAAAAATCACAACTTTGATATGTATGTCAAAATTGGGACACTCTGTATAATTGCCAATATTTTAGAAATGTGTCCTCAAATGTCATGTATAACATGCCATGAATAGATTTTCCCAAAATGTATTTGTTTATGAGTAATATTCCGTCCACACATGAATGGGCCTCCCTGAATAAGCGAAAATGTCTGACCCTCAAAAGATGGAACAGTATCCGAGACAATGGTTGCTTGACAAATGAGACCCCCTCCTTCCAGAAATGGTTCTTTCCTATATTGATAAAGTTTTCCGTTGATGCTCTAGAAAAAGAGTTTGGTAATTATCGCTTCTTAAGTGGTTTCACGTGATGATATCATGCACTCCCAGTAGAAGATTAAAATCAAGAAATCAAACAAATATCCATTTCCATTGACAGAAATCACGAGCAAATTTCAATATCTACCATGTATACGGGTGTATATAATAAAGTTGGTTAACTTCTGGAGGTTGTTTGGTAAAGTTTTTAAATGAAATTTCTATATTCGGGTGTTTAAGATAGATAGTCTAAGGAATACTTTATTTCAAATCCGATCAGTACCAGATTTTGAGATAATTCGAACTTTCCGAAACTGAGTACCTTAGTGGACTTACGAGAATATCATAGGTCTGTTAGAATACACAATTTTATAAGAAACATATACACTGCATAAAAACGTTGAACTAATTTCTTACAAACCGTTTTATCTCAATAATTTCCCCTGAACGCAATACTTCGCAAAACGAAGCAACCACCAAAAAGCCCAGCTGGTAAGTCGGTAAATTTCAAGTTCATATTAATTTTTCAATCACCCGTATATGTTTCTAACGGCCATCAAATTTTATTTCGAGATGTGAGCAGAAAAAACCCATCATCTGATCATGCACTGATTTGAACAGATAACAAAATCGGCACTTCAAACTCATATTTTTCCATCCACTGCTGTACGCACTGCTAATCAAGTACCTAATATGGTATAAAAACAGCTTAATAAAAAGCTAGAGTCAACCGAGAGTCCCATTTTATTTGCCAACATGGGGCTGACAACGGTACAACTTGCGGTTGTGTTAGCATTAGCCACATCATGCTACGCCCAGAAAAACAACAATTTCGCCCCTGGGAGAAACTCCATCGTGCAGATGTTTGAATGGTCATGGGGTGATATTGCTAATGAATGTGAACAGTTTTTGGGACCCAAAGGATTTGCAGGAGTCCAGGTGAGTGTTTCTCAGTAACTGGTGTGCCGATCTTGTACGATAGAAATTGCAAAAATCCTTAATATTTTTCATCTTAGTTTTGATATAGGGCATGTTCTGTGGGTGCTCGTATATTTATCTTTATTGCAATTTTTTATGTGTATCATATCCTTCACTTGCCATGCCACCGGAGAGGAAGTATCGTAATCACGAAAAATTTCTAAAATGAGATATCAGTTTTTTGATATATGACGTACTTACATCACTAAAAATCATCTCCCTTATTTCCGTCGCCTTTCTATCCGCTAATAATTAGCCCGTCTATAACTTGGAAACCGATATATGATGACATTTTCCTAAAAGGTTTCTACTGTGACAAGTACGAAAAAGCTTTTTAATTCTTGAAAATCGGACAAGTGAGGGCAGAGCTAAAGGCAGAAAGCGAAACTTTGTTTTTTGACGTTTCAGAGGCTCCTGATCATTTTCAGAAATGTTGTTGTAGAAGCTCAATATTGAGGGGCTGTATGGGGTGGGGAAGGGTATACCTCAATGTCTTGGCATTAGTATATTTATACATTTCCAAATCCGGTAATTCTATGAACTGATTAGACATATTTCATGCATCATCTACGAGTATTTCCCCGTACTCGTACATATGACCTTAGAACTAATAATAATAGAGACATATCCTTAACACACGCGACTCTGGATATGGATATAATTGCGTCGCTGTGTGAACGATGGTTGTATGTTTCGTAGTCGTGGTGGCTGCCGTGGTACCCTTCCTAGCGATTGCCGAGGTTAGTCATATCAATGTTGCCAGATGGTCGGTGTCGGTAGAGCAGAACAGAAAATTATCTATCACAGCGTTGTCAAATGAGGAGAGACTATGGTCTTATTGTATGAGCCTGTTTTTGACTCACATGATCCGTTTAATTTTTCTATTATACATGCTCGTAGCTAACTCTTATCTCACTGTGCAGAAAATAATTATTTATTAATCATTTATCAACGGATAGCAGAATTGAGAAGTGTAGAGTACACCTTCTTGACATCATATGTTGAGTTTGGAAAACTTTTATCGGTTGCGCACTCAAAGAAGGTATTGATAACCGCTGCTTTTCATATGATAACACATTAACGCATAAATTGTTGAGTGTTTAAGTTGATATTGATAGGTAATTAAAAATATCTATTAGATTAACTTAAGTCGTCCATACTTTAACTAGCCGATTAAATTAAGTAAAACCTTAAACAATGGAACAAACATTTAGGATGCATTTATTTAATGTACGAAATTTTGTATAAGAAATACAGAACGATATATAGAAAACATATACATATCCAGCAAAAATTGTCGCAAATAATTAAAAGGTACAGGCCCTTTTTTCATAGTCAAAATCGGTTTTCGATGGTAGATGGTAACTAACAAAGGCTTTTAAACTTATGAACTGGGATTAAAAAGCTATTTTTTAACAAACCTTGTACAAACATGATGAACTCAACTGTTTTTCGATTTCTAGATATCTCCTCCTTCTGAAAACATTGTCATTGAAGATGGAAGACCATGGTGGGAGAGATATCAGCCAATCAGCTACAGTCTCAATACCAGATCTGGAGATGAAGGCGCCCTTAAGGATATGATAAGTCGATGCAACAATGCAGGAGTAAGGTACCGTTAATCTAATTCTGTTAATGGACGTGTAGAACCACCTTAGTTTTCTTTTACAGCTCAAATTTCCAATATTAAAATCTGAGAGCATCAAATTCAACATATTATATTTATTGACAATGTGGTCGAAATATTTTATGATAGATACAGTGTCCTCACAATTTAGCCTAATATACCAATATTCCGTTAATTGCAAAATTGCTGCAATCCACGGAACATGGATGGAAAAACGCGCTAGTTCATAATGTCTGGTACTACCAATGATTTTTATTTCACAGGATATATCCTGACCTTGTGGTCAACCATATGGCTGCAACGGGAGGATCTGGAACGGATGGAAACAGCTGCGATCCAGCATCCAGATCTTATCCAGCGGTTCCATATGGCCGAGATGATTTCCACCCGGATTGTACTATAAACAACTTCGATGATCCTGTCGAGGCCAGGAACTGCGGACTTCTCGGTCTACCAGACTTAGATCAGGTAAATACGAAAATCAATCGTGTTCCTCCCTAACCCTCCACAGGATCAATACCTTCTTTCTTTGTCTCACTAAAGGTATGCGTCCATAGGTCTACATCATATTGTTCGCACCTGTTTAGTAGTGGGTCTTCTATATCACTAGCACCCGTATTTTGGTATGTGCTCTAATATTGGGGATGCCGTGGAAGGTGACACGTCCACCAATCTGCAATCCATATGACGTCATCAGCACGCGTCGAAACAGTTGTTCTTTCGAGATATTCGAATTGCCTATTTGGTGCGTATCGATGGACCATCACATTATATTCAAACAATTATAAAATTTACTGCAGACCTCTGAACACATAGCTTAAAGGAAATGTATAATACATTTCTTGATGTCAAAATAGATTTATGATAAAACCCTTGAGAAGACCGGGATCCACATTGATTTCTATATTCCAGAGTAAGCAATACGTCCGTGACAAGATAGTCGAGTATATGAATCACTTGATAGGCTTGGGAGTCGCAGGATTTAGAGTTGACGCAGCAAAACATATGTGGCCCGCTGATTTGGAAGCCATTTTCGGCAGTGTGAACAACCTCAACAGTGAATTTTTCCCTGAAAATTCAAGGCCTTTCTTTTACCAAGAAGTAATTGATTTCGGTAAGAATTTATCATTAGGTTTGGAAAAAAACAAGAAAGTTACAAATCGTCACTAATTCATTTTTAGCAAATTAAAAAAGTGACAATTTTAGGATGTAGTCAAATGTTTTGTAGTGTATATAGTTTGGACAAGTCTGCATGTATCTCTAGGTGGCGGCAATATTAAAAGAGAAGAGTACCTCGGCTTTGGCAATGTTTTGGAATTCAAGCACGGTGTCGAACTTACCAAGTTATTCACGGGCAACAACCAACTAGCGAACCTCAGAAACTGGGGACCTGAATGGGGTTTAATGCAGGGTCATGATTCTGTAATTTTCGTTGACAACCACGACACGCAGAGAAGCGGTAGCGGAGGCATCGATGTCCTTACTTACAAGCAGCCCAGGGAATACAAAATGGCAAACGCTTTCATGTTAGCACACCCGCATGGTTAGTAAATTTTTTAAATTGAATATTCATATCAGATGCAGCGACCGATTACTCAAAAAGTTGAGGTAATACAATTAAGAAAATTACGGTTTAAAGTACTTATAACTGACGGCGAAAATTGGATTAAAATTATATCAAAACTATGGTACTTCCGGTTAGATCGGAAGCAGATAGATACCAACTGACTTATTGCAAGTTATTCAATTTTTATACAACTCAAGATTTGAAATTTTATAACTATGTATAACAGTTTCTGATATATCTCAAATTTTCAGTTAAAAAAGACAAATGTCATTGATATAACAATTTTTTCTCGTATTTTTTACTTTGCCGTATGAATTATAACGGGTTTCTTATAGTAGAGGTCCTAGTTTTGTAGATTTTATTCCAGATTTAGATAACAAATAGTACAGGGTAGTGAGAATAGATAATCAAAATGAGATTTAAAAACCCAAAAAGTAATTGTTTAAGTGGAAACCTTTTTTTATAATTTCATCGTATAAGGTATTGAAAACAATGTTGATTTTCTACTTATCAAATTAGAAGTTTCCGAGATATATGATGGAAATATTGGTTCTTATTTGGCTTAAATAAACCATGAAAGTCTTTTTTGAAAAGTCAGTCTCAGCTCGCTATGACGATGGTAGTTCACCCTATTTCCGCCACGGTCAACCGAGAATATTCAACAGTAAAAGCCGTATGGAACAATTGAACAAAAACAGAACCGGTATTTCCAGATATCTCGAAAACTATTAATTTACTGAGGAGACAACTTTATACATAATTAACCTTATTTAGAACAAAAAAATTTTTAAATCAAATATTCGTTATATATTTTTTTTCTTTGACGACCCTGTATTAGTTTTTATCCAAGCCTGGAGAAAAAAATCAACTAAATTAGGTAGCTCCCCTATTATACGGAAACCGTTACAAATTATGTAGCAAAGACTAAAATAGCAAAAGAAATTGTGTAAACGTATTGGCTTTGTCATTTTTTACGTAAACTTTGAGGTATTCCAAAAACAGTTAGACTTGGGTATACAATGACATACAAGAAGCATTTGCGGAGCGTCCCATTCAAAATAAGCAAGTTGGTATCTACTTCCAGCACGAGCGGAAGTGCTACTATTCGAAAACATTTTAGCCCAAGTGCACCCATCATTGTTTCTAACGACTCCAAATTTTCATAGTATCCTCAATAATCAATTTCATTTTCCTACTTCAGGAGAAACGACACGTCTATTCTCTGGATACAGCTTCGATAACGATCAGCAAGGGCCACCAGGCAATGGATGGGTTAATGAGCACAGATGGAGCCAGATTTCCAACATGGTTGGATTCAGGAACGTTGTAGCAGGTAAGACAATTTAATAGTGTCTGACACTAATATTTTTTACTTTCTTCTGCTGTACGTTTGTAGACCGAGTGCCAAATTCACTTCAACAAAAAAATAATCCACCTCAGAATCTATGCGAAGATGCCGAGGAATGTTCTCGTTCATTTATATGTAGCCAGGATACAAATCATCATATTGAAACCTCGATTGATGAAATTAACTTAGGATGTTTGTTTGGTAAACATTTCAATCGGGAATAGTGAATATCCTCAGATGGCTTGAATTATATACGAGGACCATCACATTACGTTCGACCCCTAACCCACTAGAAAGGAAGCTACATTCAATCAACACATTTCTTATTTTCCTACATAACCCCAATTAGCATCAACAAGCTTGCTCATTTGGTTCGTCAGCCTTTCAGTAAAATTTTTGTCGCGCTGCTGAAACCCAATTCTCTACGGCACAAAACTTGAAATTTTCATCTCGAAAACGGTCTCTTTATCTTAGAAATAGTCTAAAATTACTTGCTCCAGTTTTGACGAATATGGTGAGTTACATACCAATCCAGAACCTGCTCGAAGTCGAGCAGCTATAGCAATGGAAGAGGTGTGGCTGGGAGTATTATCCTGGTGAAGCAATACAGAGAAGGCCCACTGCCATTCCAGTTTTCATAAGACTTAAAATTTCAACAGTCCCCACAATATTTTGATAAACTTTAGTGCGCGTCATGCCCTTTTTTCGGAGACATTACGACCGTTTGCTCAACAAGACACATTTCTATTAAAATGTTTGTCAAATATACACCAAATCGCACAGAACATCAAAACAGTTGTAACGTGAACACCGTCTTTTGCTATCAAAATACTATTTTATTACCTTAACAAAAATTATAACACTTGTAACCCAATTTATAACTATATCTACTAGACTATTATTAGATCTCAATTGACATTCGTCAAATAAGCAGATAATGGGGTCAACGACCGAGCAAAGAGATCAACCCTCATAATCTGGCGAAATTAGATACGCAAGTTTACTTGGCAAATCCTCAAAATTTTTCATATACTGTTGCTGATAGGTCTTTGATGTTCCAGGTACTGAATTAACTAACTGGTGGACCGACGGCAACCAACAGATAGCGTTCAGTCGAGGCGACAAGGGCTTCGTGGCCTTCTCGCTTTCCGGAGACATGAACGCAGACATACAGACCTCACTTCCTGCGGGGAGCTACTGCGACATCTTTTCCGGTGATAACTCGGACAACTCCTGTTCCGGGAAGGTCGTCACGGTCGATGGAAGCGGAATGGCGCATGTTGAGATCAGTGGCGACGATGGGGCTCTCGCTATCCATGTGAACGCTAAACTATAGTCGAAGCTATGATTGTTGTACTACGCGTGCGATTTTCATAAATATTTTTATGTGCATCATGTTGTTTCCTTCCTTTTCCAATACCACACGTCCTTGTGATTCTGCAAGAGATTAACTGGATGTGTGGATCTTATGCGATGCTGTCATACAAAAAATCTGTACCAGGAGCACAGACAAAGCAAAAAGTATTTCGCCGAAAAATTTGCATTTCTCGAAAATTTGATACCAGGAGTAAATAAAATTATCCATATCTCCCGCGTTTCTATGTTCCCGATAAGAAATCTCGACGTCGGACCTCAACCATTCTGAAAGTGATTGGGCAGCCAAGTAAAATTTTTTATATCAGGATCACAGGAACGCCCGAGAGACATTTGTATGAAAATTTTTCCTGCCACTTATTCCACACTTCATGTTTCTATGTTCCTGGTAGCAAGTCTTCAAGTCAAACTGTGACGATTCTACACCAAAAGTACGAAATTCCTGGCAGTGACTCATCGCTGTTACCTAAGGCAGCCGCGGTGAGCAGAGGGGTGGAGAGGGATTGTTCCATGTGCGTACGAACTAATTTTTATAAAAGGTGTTAATATATAATAGCGAAGTGGTTCATTTATATTTATTTATTTAACCAGATATTTAACAATGTGATTGATAAAACAGATGAATAACTGGTATATATAATGTATGAATATAAAAATGTATATATAATAAATATATAATGGAACACCTAAACTTATCGAGACTTCAGTGTCAAACATAATAAAATTATTATCTGTTGTCAAAAACACAAAAACAAAATTATATTAGGATCTAAAAATCAATGATTATTCAATATCGGAGTCATCACTAGACGAATCAGAGTCGTCGCTGTTTAACTCAATCACAACTAGTTCAACAATAATGTCTACGTGAGTATCCAGATCCCACATTCTCTGCTCCTCCTTGATAACGTGTTAAATACATTTTTGCCAGTTCTCGCTGGATACGTTGTTGATAGCATTTTGTAACAATAACTTGACTCCGCTAACATGGAGGTTGTATTGTTCCTTGCTATTTCTCCTTTAACTTGTGCCCATATCAGCTCAATTGGATTTAGTTCACAATGATAGGGTGGTAAGCGATGAACAATAATGGTATGCTGGCGAGCCATTTCATCTATAGCGTACAATATTCACGTGGGTTTGTTTTGCCTAGCGATATTAAGGAGTTCAATTCTAAGCGTTTGTTCCTGATATGTAACGTTTTTTGTCTTGAGCAAATTTATTATGTCACTTTTTCGCCATGAACTAAAAGGGAACTTTTCTAGTCGGCGAGCATTATCCATTACCACGACTGAACCAAAAGTGATATACGGCAAAATCCATACCAAAGATGCAACCTACCATATATCAGAATTAAGCAAAGAACCTGCTTCTGCCTGAATATTGAAATTTGAAGGAAATATTTTGCTTTTGAAGAGCCTGGATATATATTACAAATAAAGATGTAATCTGCTTTGAAAATCACACCATATTGAGAATTTAATTTAATCTGCACCTCATCAACAGCAATAGCCCACCGCCCCTCAAGCCACGCGTCTCTATAGAATGCGGCTCCTTTTATCTATAATTTATTGCTCGGACATTACCTTCCAGTATCAGTAATGCTTTTTAGACTGTCTTCGGCGCTAATACAACGTTGCAGTTCAGTATTTTGGGAGGCCAGAAGATGACAGAGGTATGTGCAACCTCGATTGCATATTTTTGTTCATAACAGCCGGAGATTGTCCACGCATGTGCTTCTCAGGACTGACGAGGATATACATATTCACTGCGGCCATTGAAGATGCAGGAAACGTTTGATCAGACATGGATCTTTAGCAAAGTGGAAATTTTATCAGCAAGAACAGAAACTTGTACGAGTATAGTAATTTAAAAAAAAATCCTCCAATTCGACACCAGGAGCAAGACAACTTTCACTTACCTCCTTGCACTTCTATGCTCCTGATAGCAAATCTTTACGACCGCCTTTGATGAGGAAGTAGCTTAGGGGAATATCGACGTCTTTATCTTCCTTTTTGGGAAAATGGACAGAACAATGGCATTGAAATGAAAAACGCGTTTGATTTGTAAAATTGTAATACACATACAACTGTTTATTGAGACATATAAATCATCAGTCCTCTCATTAGTAAATCGATAGATGATACATAACAATTGTCGGTTTTTTCACCAATAAAATGACCTGCTACAAATTGCAAAAAAACTCGCATCTCTCAAGTGTTGTATGGTTTGTGATTTAAAGAATTGCAGAAGTGTTACTATTAGGCATTACAGTTTCTAAACAGTACAATATTGGATGAATATTAACTACTTCACACTAAACAAAAAAAAAAGATAATATTAGGGATAATCCGATACAAACATACTGAAGAGAGACAAAAATGCCTGTGAAGCAAAAAAGCAAACAACGGATGGGCATTGGTGTGGGTGGACCAAAACAAAAGAATAATATACATAAAAATTAGAATACAAAAAATAAACATAACTTTATGAACTGAACCTAAGATTGCAAATAATGAATGTCTTAGCTGTAATTACCATACGGAGCCTGTCTTTTCACATTAATATGGATTCCTATGTGAATTTTTACCAATAACCAGATTCACCAGCAAAAACAGAAGTACATGCTTTGAACTCCCTTAAAATTACTGCTAAAATACAATCATCACAATGCAAAAATGCATTACCAAGAATAAAATATATAATTATATTATACATATAATAGATTTTTTACTCTGTTCATGAGCTGCGAAAAGATCTCTGTAGCGTGCAGGGACTCGCGCAAAAATTATCCATCAAAAGTCCGCTTTGATGCCAACACATGGGAATCCAACATTCACCAATATCATTTTTTAATCGAAAATTCTTTTCGCGTAATTTATCCAAAAATACTCCGCCCAAAAAACTCAATGTTCATATTTTGATTAATTACTATAATTTTTATATCACTACCGAAAATAAGCGGGCGCCATTTTCGAATTAGCATTGTCCCAAATATCTGAAGAGTAATTTTAGCGCCGCCTGTACAAACACATCATGAACCGAGTGGGGTCCCTCTCCGCGCCCCGTGCGTACGACTGTCAACTGTCAAACAGTGACAGTCGACCGCCGTAACGTGTCAGTGCCAAACCCACGCTTCTCCCTCTATATCGCATTTCCAATCAGCGTTAACAATTTGCGTTACGTAGAACATATTCATGAAAAATAACTAAAAACCCAAACGATGCAGTGACGACGTGACACTCGGGGTTTCATTGGGTCGGTTTGGAATTAAGTAAAAAAAAACATTATTAAAATATAGGCGTGTGGTGACTTTTGCGGTCACCCATCACAGCAGGATATGTCGCAGAAAGTATGGGATTTCAATATAATTTTAACTAAAAATTAACGCATCGAAACGGAAAATTCAACTAATCGTAAAGATAATGACAAAAACTCACGCAGAAAAAATTGACATGTTGATACGCAAGCCGTGTACAGACGGTGAAAAGTGGCAGCTATTAAAATACCGAAGGTTTCAGGCAAGTCCGTGTATGAACTTCACAGAAATTTTGAAAAAAAAACGATTCACCAAACCAAGCCTAGACCATACAGAGGAGTTGCCAAATAGTATGAAACAGATGTCCATGCTTGGCAGTACGAAAGCTAATACTACTGTTTAGTTATCTAATACAGTTGTCACTTGTGTTGTGCATAATTCTCCGATGTAGAAATTTCGGGATAGCCAGTCCAGTTTTAAAGTTTCCCCATTTGTACAATCAACTTGAAACAAATCTTCCTTATGATGGAGATATTTGACTACTTAGGACAATGTGGTTACTATGCGATTTTTTGCGATTATCTTTTAGAGACTTGCGACTTCCTGCGAAATATCCCGCCCATTCAAAAAAAATAATAAAGACTATCAACGAACAGGCACATCGGCGTCCCTATGATATTGTACAGTCGCCTCAGTAAACCAGGGAACGCGCCACGTAAAGCCCAAACAATCAAGAAAAACATAAAAATATTAACTTAATCAATTTAATTGTCAAATTTCATCTCATCAAAACAAACGTACAGATAAAAAATTTTGATTGTACCAATAACAACAAGTTTAAAATGTAATAAACTAAGCAATGTTACAAAAAACAAAAAAAAAACGCAGATTAGTTGTTAAGGTTTTACGGAGAAGTCAACAAACTGTCGAAATCGTTTCGCTCATTTTTTTATATTTCGATGGTAATATTCAGAAGCTTCAAGAATAATCTAGTTCAATAATTCTGTTTTGATTTTACATATCCAGCACTGTTTGGTTAAAATATCAAACGAAAGGTTGTAGACCAAATTATACTATTTCCCATTTTTTTAAAGGTACTGTCGTAAACTCTTAAAACTGATTACTCTAAATATTAAAATTCAATTGGAACTTTTGCAATTAATATTTAGCATCTATTGTTTACGATCTAAACTATCTTCTAGATTTCCTAACTAGTACTAAATAGAACTAATTTATTCCTAAAGCAAGAGCGTTAAATTATTGCTAATGACATGATGTTTCATAATGGATATCTCAAGGTGCTTTCATGTAAAGCTTTACGTTTAGATTTCATTTGTACTTCATTTTAAACTGATTTGACTAAATCACAACAATGCTCTAAGGTGGTTATATTTGATAAATCGCGGACTAAAACGTTGGTTATGTTTTTATGGAAGTTGTGTAAATGAATATGCACACATGAATGAAATGTAAAAAACTAGCTCTGAAACTCCTTACAGATGTGTGGTGAAGGCCAAAACGAATTCTGCACAATTTATCGACTTTCACCCGTAAACCAGCGTCTTTAACATGGGGACATCACCGAAGCCGCGCAAGGCCCAAGGAGGGGTTTTGATGTTCGTATGTAAACTAACGACAAAATTTAGGCGACAACAGCTAGAAACCACTGCAGATCGAAGAAAAACTATTTCAACTAGAAACTTAAGAAGACTATATGAATCTGACTTGCATCAAGCTATCCGAAACTTCTACGATTGTATAGGCATGCTCAAAGAACCGAGATCGTACAACCGTACACGAGGTCTCAGCGTTTGGCACAAATCAGATGCAAGCTTAAACTAAAAAGAATTCTAGTACGGCGTTCGTGAAATTATGTCAAATGACGATGACCGTAAAGTTTTGTACAAAACAGTGAAAATTATCCTCAAATACTTTTTGACGGATTCTATCATATATTTTTTTAACATTTTGTCATAACCTAAGGGTTTCAAAAACTTGACTGAGGTGATAACGAACAAAATATGCCGACCCGTCACAATGGCATCTGCTAATGTAATCATGCAGAGCTCCAAACAGGTGTCGTCTAAACTCCGTCGAAAATTTAACAGTTTGGACATTGCGTGTGTCGAAAGTCAGAGAACGTTTCCCGAGAAAATGTTTGTTTGTTTTGTGTCGCGCCAATAAGCGGCGACGCCAGCTCATCAGCCGCGGTTGTCACATTTTGTCTGTCGATTGATAGAGGGTAGCAGCAGCAGTGGACGTCGGATGTTTAGAAGTCGGGAGCACGTTTAGCTCCACGCGGCGTAAGAGTCTTGGTACCACTGCTGGTCCCCGTTCAAGTCGGCCAACGGCTGCTGGGCCAAGGGCTGGTTGCCCCAGTTCTGGTTCTGGTAGCGGCGCTTCGTCTCCCCCTGGTTCTGGTGACCCCCGTCAAACTTCCGTTTACCTGAAACACCAACACAGAATTGAGGAATGTCCTATGCCCTTTTATTGTGTTATCAATTCATTGTATTGTAGAGCATAGTGCTACTTGAGCGATCATTGCCTTTGATATCGCTATACATACGGAGACAGTAATGTGAGTGATCGCTGGAGTAGCGCTATGTTTTGATGTATGCATAGGCATTACAAATATAGGGTTACAGCTAAAGTCGTAAGTAAGGACGTTATAGATGAGGTTATTATATACAGATTTCACTATATGAGGTTTGTCCGGTAAATACGTATAAAAGTGGAATAATTTTATTTTACAATTGTTCAGGTATTTCAACATGGTCTCCTTCAAAGTATACTTTATCTGAAGTCACTTGAAACACTGTGAAATACCGGGTGCGTTTTATATATCTATATTTATGTATAAATATGTATGATTGTCTGAAAAACGAAAATCGAGATTCCTCGCAAAATCAAATTTTAAACAGAATTTGTATCCTGACAAAAATCAGTCGGTCTACCATTTATCGGGTTATGAAAAGGGGAGATGTAGTCAACCATTCCTTCCACAGAAAGCGCATAGGGCAAAAATTAAAAAGAATAGACGTGGGTTTTCAGGAATATATTCGTCGTATAATATACGGATTTTATAAAGAAAATTTGGTGCCCACGTTGGAAATGATACGGGATAAATTAAAAGATTATCCTGAAGATTTTTATAATTACAAATGCTTAGACTCACTGCACTGTATTGTAAAACTGTGTGGTTTTCAATACAAAAAATTAGATAAAAGAATGGTGATTATGGAGTCGTCTCGTAAAAATGTTAACAATATATATACAACGAATTAATGTAGTTAAATTATTTCAAGAAATTAATCCACTTGACGGTACTATAAATTAGATTCTGTAATGCAAATTTTCATGCGTGGTAGTTGCGTCTGTCGAGAACACATACTGAATGACCTGCAGACGTGTGGTCAGCTTGTTGATTTATAGTTCAGTTACATGTTCTTATATGTGACGCATATGATTTTCCCTACTAAGATTGCACTTCGTGAATCATTTTGTTCACTTAAGCTTCTCAGGCGGGGGTGAAAAATGGCTATGCCAATCCCCAGGCTTTTGGGGTAGTATTTTCTGTATTCTATTATTCACTCATATTTTGATAATACCATCTATTAATACTCCAATAAACATTATTATTATTCCATAGATCTACTTGCACTAAAAATACCATATCTCTACATATGCTGTTTTGCTTTGTATGTAGCTTCCCAGAATACCGAAAATTACTAGATCTGGAGACTCAACCAGAAAAAAACATTATTACAAAAAACGGATATTTTAGAAAAATGTTAATGAGTGATTCATCTCTGAAACGGTTGATTCTTGGACACAATAATATATGTTCAAATCCCTCGAGAATGACCTCATCTACAATGTCCTTAAATATTCTCTACGACTTTCCCTGTAACCGTGCACAATAGCGATTCATACAAATGACTAAGACTCGCCGCGATGCACAATAGTGAAATTTCGTAAGCTTGACCATCAATTAAAAGAAAGAGGAGTATGGCAGTTAAGCTTCAACCCATTGTCATCTGAAAATTGTAGTTTAAAATCTAAAAAAAAAAAACAGCTTTGTAAGAAGCATTTCCTCACACTTCGGTAAGATTGTAGATGCTAGGGGTCTTGCTCCGGGTATCTAGTTGCAAATTGTTGCATTGCTCGCAATGATCTTGGCATTGTGTGAGTCACTATGATGGTGCATAAACTTTTCAATTGAAAGGAAAATGGAGCAAATAGGTTTTCATTGGAATGAGGGTCGGCCCATAAAATATGTAGCATCATCATAAACAAACGTTTTTTTTATATAAAGGGTTGTCCAATAGGGACGCAGGAAAGTAAACGTCATTTTGTTAGTTGAATGTTTACCATTGATCGCTATGGAGTCGTATTCGATTGAAGACCGCATTAAAGTTATCCAAAAGCACTACAAAAAAGGTGCAAAAATAAAAAACACGTTTCGCGCGCTTCGTGAACATTTCGATCGCAACAACCGCCCAAACGAAACAACCATCGGTCGTCTGGTGCGTAAATTCGTGGCAACAGGTTCTGTGGCAAATCTGCCAGGCTCTGGCCGGCCAAGGAGCGTTCGCACACCGGAAAATATTGCTGCTGTGAAGGAGAGTGTGAGAGACGATCCGAAACAATCAACAACGCGTCGATCCCAAGAATTGGACATTTCGAGAACCAGTTTGCTCCGCATTCTCCACAAGGATTTGAATGTACACGCCTACAAGATCCAATTGACGCAAGAGCTGCGTCGGGCAGACCATTTTTTGCGCCGAACGTTCTCAGATTGGCTCCTTGAACACCGCCAAATTGATGCCAATGTTCCATCAAAAATCATGTCCAGCGACGAAGCGCATTTCACTTTGAATGGGACGGTAAACAAGCAAAACTGCCGCATCTGGACGAACGAAAATCCCCGTGAGTATCAAGAGCAGCCGATGCATCCTCAAAAAGTGACTGTGTGGTGTGCATTGTGGTCAAAAGGCATCATCGGACCTTACTTTTTCGAAAATGCGGCCGGGGACGCCGTTACCGTCAATTCTGAGCGATATCACGTGATGATAGAGGACTATTTTTTGCCGCAACTTGAAGGAATGGATATGGACTATGTTTATTTCCAACAAGACGGTGCAACATGCCACACAACCAACGTCAATATCCATCGATTGCAGTCCTTCTTCGGTGATCGCGTGATTTCGCACAGAGGAAATGTGCCATGGCCACCAAGATCGTGCGATTTGACTAACTTGGACTTCTTTTTATGGAGATATTTGAAAAGCAAAGTCTACGTCAACAAACCAGCCACCCTCCAAGAACTCAAAAACAACATCATTGCCGAGATAAATGCCATAGAACCGACCATGTTGCAAAATGTCATTAAAAATTTCGACCATCGCGTGGACGTCTGTAAATCCAGTCGTGGTGGACATTTGAGCGATTTTTCATACATAAATGGTATAAATGAACCTCCAAAATAAAGTACCCAACTTGATTTGAATATCAATCTTTCTTGTTTTAATATGCGTTTACTTTCCTGCGTCCGTTTTGGACAACCCCATATATTTCAATATCAACAAGTGCCTTTAACATCACAAATATGTTTCTCAGCCATAACAAACACCATACGAATGAAATTCCACTTCTTCATGTTCACAATTTGCAACGACTGAATATGTACCATTTTGTAACAGATAGTATTTTTCCACCTTTTAGTGTCAACACCAAATAGTGATACTTGCTTGGATCAAGCTCACATTTTGTGTCTGATGTCAAAAAAAATTCAGAGCTACACCGAAAACCGAATTTGTACAACTTGGTATAGTAGTGCTGTATTTTAATAAAAATAATACATTCAAAACCTAACATAGAACAGATGTATTTGGTTATCATGAATAAAACTTGATAGAGCTACTCAATTTTGTTTAACACCCCTATTTTTCACGACTTCTCACCCAACTTTTGAAAAATACGACACAAGATAAGGCAAATACCATCTGTTACAGAATCTTACGCATTCAGACGTTGCTAGCTCCCTATCTAATCATTTATTTTTCTGGAAATATGATTCTTACTAATACTTGTTTGCTGTTTTTAGAAAAGAATCACACTGCCAAAAATATTTAATATGTAAGAAAGCAAACTACAACAAAAAAGTTTATCTGCAGCACTAAAGGATCCGGTAATGAGAGCTGGCATGTGAAAAATATATGCTATTGGATAATATATTTGAATTTCCTAGTTACTTTCTCATTAATGCCTATTTTTTACTTAACAAAAACGATATCTGAATATTATAATATTAAAGCTATTTTCAACTTTATTGTAACAGCACACCTACTATAGCATATACTTTTCGTCAGGTGAGAAATTTAGGAAAAATTGGGATATTAAGGAGTAGAGGAAAAATACATACTGCACAAGGAATGATAGCACCACATTTGAAACTCCATAAACGGCGCACAACATGGCTAAGGGAAACTTCTGAATAATATTAAGCAACGGCCAACAAAACTAGAAAGAAAATGTTAGGTTATCCTACGTGTCTGTGTTAACTTTCCCACACGTTATCACACTTCTCAGCTCAAATCCAGAAACTGATTTCAAAACAAAGTCTCAAAATAAGATGATCTATGTTTTAGGAACAAAAATAATGAAAGCAGCGCTGATTCAAGTTGACGTTTATGACACAATATTCTAGATTGCTTACTTTTGTGCTTTGAACCTTATAAAAATAGCTATATTGCTTTAAAAATAGGAATTGCTATCACCAAATGCTAAAATTGAAATGGGTATGGTTTATTATGCAATACCTCACAACACCGCTACAATTATTCAAATATTTGACATACCTTAGAAGAGACTTATCACAAGGACAAACATATACATCTAAAACACAGTGACCCTGGGTATGAACATAACATTTAGTTCATTTTTTTTTAATTATCTTGATCTCCGGTGATACAAACGCAGGGTTCTTTACTTTGACCTTTGTATTAAGAGGTTTGTTGCCAAAGTCTAATACAAATTTGATAACTTTGATATTAACATATTTTCTGGCGACTTGAAGTGACTATCAGAAGTACTAGAGGTTATTATGCAGACGTAAATTGTATGTTCTTTCTGACTATGAGGTGAAGCATAATGACGGCATATTCAATTTAAAAAATCCTTGGAGTTATGCTTGATACCTTCGTATTCACTTCTTGGTTGTTTCGTGCCTAAATGACATCTAAGGTAATATATGAACTCAATCGTTCTCAAAAAGTACAAGGACATAAACGTCAAGAATAAACACACTTGACCTCAAAATGACCTTGGAACTATATGTTCCAAATACGAAGATAAGGTGAAAAGTTCTCGGCCTGACAAGGACATGGCGTTCCAATATGCGAAAATTTATAATTCCTGTAAGGGTCCCATGTCATTTGTTCGCATGACAAGTTTCAACTTCTTGAGTTTAAAAAGTAAGCAACTGAACTTAAACGATGTCAAAAGTTCCTTGAAGATGATCCATGTAAAGGACTGCCAAAAGCCGCAACCACACCTAAAACCATCGAGAAGGTTCATGATATCGTAATGTACAATAAGCATGTGAAGATGCTTAAGATGTGTGTTAACACAATGCAGAATCTGGGGTATTATGATTTTTCGCTCCCAGACTTGCATTTGTTCCCAGATTTGAAAAAATTTCTAGAAATCACTTCCGAGCAACGCTGACCAACTGTGTTGGAGTCGAAGGCCGACAGTTTTTCACCCTATCCTCGTACATATTCAATTAACATCACAAGAAAATGACTTACCTGGTAAACTTCCCTTGGCGCGGCCCACTCCACGAGCGGGCGGGCGCTGCGCCCCACGCGGCCCTGGGGCTCCGGCCCGGCCCGCTGCCGCTCGGTTGCCCGCCCCCGCCGCCGCCCCACGGGCTGGGGGGCCACCGGCCCGGCCACGCGCCACCACCCCACGCCCACGGCCAGCCTGTTACACACACACCAAACATATGATCAGCAGAAAATCAGAATAGAGAAAAACGCCGTGCTCAAAAACAGGCGTGGAAAAAATAAAACAAAATGCAAATTCATTAGAACATATATGTGGCAGACAATCTGTAACACCACCCTCAAAATGAAAAACAGAAACCCTTACAATATTAATTGGATCAAGTCCAAATTTATGCATCCGGTTTGGATTGCGCCAGTGTCGTGCCAGTGTCGTTCAAAGAAGTCTCTTTCTAATCTCAATTCGCGACAGATATGCCTTTATGTTAAAATTATCAAGTGAGATTGCCAGGAGACAAAAATCGAGTACATAAATGAATGTTATAAATAGCCCTAAAATAAGTCTACGGCCTTGGAGACAAGATAGTGGCAGATATTCTCATTTAACTTTCTCAAGATTTTTTAGACACTGTTATCAACTCTATTAACCCTCCCAATGCTACAGCTTGAGTTTTTAACCCTGGACTATTCGTGGCGAAAATATGACTCGATCAAAATAAGATTTAAAATGAACCACACCGTGTATTTAAAAAAGTGTAAACTTCACAATTTCGGTTAAAATATCGAACAGGCATCCACTGAAACTAACATTGAGCATACACTAGCTCCGTTTCAGAGACTACATGAATTTCTGGATAGGGTGAAACTTATCAGAAAGAAAAACTTCATCTATGAGGTATACAAGTCGGCTTCAATTATACATTCATATAAAATATATTCGTTCACTGTTGTCCATTCTAGGGGTGATGTTTATATTATCATCAAAAATATAAAATCAATGAACGTATAGTGTTGATAACTGCTCACTATTACTGAGTGTCATACATAAAATGTTATTGTAATCCTAACGTAAAAGGATTTGTCGCCAGCTTTGCATGGTTCGCTATAATTTGCAAAGTTAGAATGAAAATTTATCGAATTGCAAAATAAAGGAAATCAAAATTTAATATTACATCACCAGGCATTCTTTAAAATCCAAAACGAATTAAATGACTTAAGAACAAAGAGTAATGTTGGAAAAATATATTATTATTTATCTATAGTAAACAATTATCTAGTCAGAAAAGAAAACAGCATCAAAAATACCGTAAAAATAAATATCAAGATAAAAAGTAAAAATAATGAGTCAATTTATACAATTCATCATTAGCCAATCGTTTCTTTCCGACAAGGAATTTCTAACTATCATATCAATACGATACAATACAATTATTACCCATACAAATGAACGATATGATGTTGCCTAGCTAATCACTGAACCGATCTGTCCCAGTGGAAATGATGGTTCGGGACTATCAGAAATGCATTGTTGGAAAGAATCGATTGATTCCGTCTTTCTATAGACTGATTCGATTCAACTGAAAATTTAATTATGAAAAAACCGGAACACAGCTTTTTGCATATTGCTTAGCGAAAAATCATCGGAACTTTTCAAATCCTTTCTACCAAATACCAAAAACAAATGAAATGTTGCCCCAACAAAAATAAATGCAAATATACACTTGAAAATATACCAAAATCAATATCGTTACATGTTCATTTTACTCTGAGGTAAATTTGCATTCATTGAAATTGACTGTGTTGCGTATGATGTTATTAGAAGCAAATGTTAGTGATCCATGCAGTTTTATCAAGTTTAAATTGATTTTAGGCAGGCTGTGATTAAGATTAAGCGTGTTTACGTAAAAACAAATGCAAGATGATTGCCAAAAATTTGTTAGAATGATGGATGAAAAATAGTTATGCTCTGATACATGTTAGTAGCATACTTTAAAAATCGATAGTGTGCACTTTATAACATTTATATAATGCATTTCTTGTACTTACATATTAAATTTTGACTTATTGTATATTCTTGGTATATTTTCTGGCATATTTTTAGTATATTGGATTTGGAGGATGCTAAAATACAATTAATTCATATAGATAATTCATTACTCAGTGATTGGTTTATAAAATATAACCAAAATGAAGGAGTCAAAAAATATAATTTCAATGAATATAAATTTTGGGAAGTAAATAAACATATTTGGGAAGAAGGATTTGTAAGGATAGGAATAAAACAAGTATCTGACAAAAAATGTCTGAATTTTCAATGGCAGTATGGTAATGAACAGTTCATCCATTTTTTTTAGTTTGTAGTAAAAATAACAACAAACTATACAATGTACAAATAATGTAATGGACAGTACAGAGTTTGTTAGCAAAATCAAGGAGTTCGGTGCAAAAACACTCTGCCAGTCCGTTACATTTATTAACCATTACAACCTTGTTTATTTATGAATTGATAGTGACAACCTTACGCAAAGTTGCTGTGGCCTTTTTTACTTTGCAATTTGCACAATACTTGACTGACTGTTTTGTGGATTTAGGGTGTTTGTTTTTGTTGTATGTTTGAGTGGTTTTCGAGTTGCAGTTTGAATAATGGAGGAACTGAAGATGGGTCAAACAAAGGGCATTCCGCAAAATGAAAAACTAACTGACAGTTGATAGTCGACAGGACTGACAAGTGACATTTCGTTAAGGCGAAGTTCACAGAGGTATGGCAGTCCTGCAAAAATTATCGTTGTTAACCACAAACCTGACCGTAAGGATAACGAAATTGAGGTTTACAATCACTGACCAAACACTTCCCTAGTATTACACTACAGCTTATGTAAACATTAACTGTATTTGATATTCAAGTCAAATAATATTAACGTTTACGTATACCGTATTGTGATTACAGAAAACTTTCTTTTATATTGATAGGTGAAAAAATAGTTTATCATTTTCTAAAACAAACAATGTAGTCTAGAACAAGAAACAATCGTATGTAACGTAAACAGTAGAAAGGTGGAGTTGTAGGATTGGGATAGACAGGATAAAATATTTTCATTTTTTACAGTCAACTAAAAAAGCTTTGGTAGAAAGGACAACAAACCTGTGTTCCACTGCTAACATCGAAGTAAACACCAGAGGTGACTCCTTCATCCAGTTCCTAAGTGTCAATTGTTGGGTCAGTACCATTTTTTTATAAATAACTTTCCCACTTAGTACTGGCGGTTAACGACATTTCACAAACTTTGTACTCAATGTACAGAAATATCGGTCAAGTACTTATTGTGCTCAAACTTTGTGAAATGGCAATTTAAATAAAAATATCATCTGCGACCGAATAGACCTTGTTGCATATTATGCAACATATATGATTTGGAGAGACCAAACATTTGAAAAAAATATAATTAGGCCATTATGATAAATAATAAATGAAATAATGTTTAGACTTTGAAATCAGATCCAAAAAGATCAATAACTTTAACGCGAGAATGCATTCAATAGCAGACATGAAATCTATCATACAGAAATATGTATTGAAATCTGTCACAATTATCCAGAAAATGTAGTTGAAAGCTATAAATATAAACTACCCAAACATACTGTAAGTACATGGCATAATCAACCGTTATTTATTCCCAAAAATCGTTACTACACTACGAGAGAGCCCCCACTCTTTTCTAAGTGAAAGCCCCTTAAAAATGACTTACTTTTAACAAACCGATTTCTATATTCAATACTTTTTTATTCCAAATTTCAATCATGCGAATACGTATTTTGGAAATGTCTCAATATACACCTAGTAGTAGTATGAGATTCACGATTCATATCTAACATTCCATTGGCCGCGTTAATCATATAACAGCGCCAATGAAGCGACTGCAATAAAAATTCAATAAAGTAACGGCTTTACGCCATTCTAAATGACGTTATCGCTACTGGTAGCCCAATTTTCTGATGAACGTGATGATTGTCGCAGTCGCTTGCTCAAGAAGCAGAAAATGACAAGATAAAATAACTACAGTTGTGTAATAAAACAACATTGCAAAAACTAAATAATTTAGCGAGACGGTAATATATACGTAGTATAGTGCAACATCTGGAACTTATCCTGTGGTTCAGAATCAAACCGCATATATGTCTAAATTCCTCTTTATTGTTTTGGACCCAACTGTAACCTTTTTCAAGTACAACTGACACTTCTGACAAAATATATATTAGGAAAGGTTACCGTCGGGCCAATAAAGAGGAATCACAACGAAATATATTATCGGAAGTGACAATTGTACTTGAAAAAGGTCACCGTTTGGAGCGCATTATCGTACAATAATTAGGAATTTTAAACTTATATGTGGTTTGATTCGGACAGACAAACATTGGGGGAGTATGTACCGTCCGAGCCATAAAAGTAATTTTTCTGCTAATTCCGCATGCAACAGTTCAAATGGCCAGCTAAAAGCTGAAAAACGTAATTTCGTCATATTTCACCATTCACTTAAGAAAAAGCCTTCTAGAGTGCCATTCTCTCAAATGCACTGGTCTCTCCGTTGCGTGTCCCGACAGTGGTGGCGGTTCGTCTCCATCAAAAATCGACAATCGAATGCGGAAGGGAGCTCTAGAAAAAGGGTTATCCAAAAATATCGAGGTGACCAAAAGCTCGGCAACAAAAATCATAGCCGACGATCGCCTACAACCTATGCGAACGTCACAACAAAAAAAAAATAGGCCAAGCATAAAGCGGTAAGCGAAGCTGTACTAACAAGAAATAAAAAAGCTCAACTAAAAAGCTGAAAGCACAGACAAAATAAGCAGTTTTTGTAAATAAAAAAACATCGGTGAGGTATTCTGCTGTAAAGTACACACATTGACAGAAACACAAGCGGCGGCTTCACTAGACGTCTTGCAGAAAAATAATTTAAGCAAAACAATAATTTGGTAAACTTAGATGGAAACGGCTAACAGCCATTAGGTATATTTTTGTATTGTTCCCAAAATATTTCCTCTACACTAGGTACCAAGACACGCTAACCGAGACTAAACAAAAACCCATAATTATTTTCCAACTTCTTTCTAGCTTACGAAGCAAAGTAGCAATACCCCAGAAGTTTTATTTGTACCAGTTTATAAATTCACTAACCAAGTTAAGAGAGGATCAATACAATTCTCTATTAAAGTATTTGTGATCTATAGCAAAGAAGTCCAGCTATACTCAGTATTCGTGTGGGTTTCATTTGTATCAAATGTCCGCATGTAAAATACAAATAAATATTGCTTTTTGCACATTTCGTCTATTTTGAGAGGATCCTAATTATTCCTTGATATATACATATTTTTAACATTTAACACCATGCAAAAACAATGTTTAAATTCATTGTAAACAAGAAAATCACCACTTGAAATAATAACAGGTGTGGAATTTCTTAATATTTTTTTACTTCAATTATTAACAAAAATATATTGGTTGAGATACATATAAATTGATAAGTTTATTGCAGTTTGTAAATTTCCTTGAAAAAAAGTTACATATTTTTTTTGTCAACCTCAGCTAGAGTAAAGTCAAAATACTTCCCACAGTTAGACACAATAAGATGGATTGAGATGTAGTCTAATAGTATACGATATTTTTTACTCATATTATAACCATAGCATATTCCTGTTCGTCACGTGCATATGGAATTTAATCACCGAATGATCATCTGTCTTGTGATTAATGTAACATCTAAATTCTGACCATCAGATGTAGAAGTTAAAGTTTAATGAATTGTACTTTGAGAAAGGTCGCCTGCGTCCGTGGTTTCATTTGGCAGCCAGCAGAACATGAAGAATTGACGTAATACTGAGCCCATGTCAGTCACAGCCCGCTCTGGGTAACTACTTAACGAAACGTCAACCAACCTTCGTACATCTTCCAAGTGGTTTCAGGTATTCCCTAAACTACTCCCAAGTAACCATCCCTTGTTCAGTCACTCGAAAAAGCGTAAATGACATAGATTTTAACTAATTTAGACAGTCTAACTGCCTAGAACAGACCAAAATCGTTTGTAATTCGTCTTATCAAAATCTAGTCCACAGTCCGATTAGCCATTCTTCAATGAATAAAATTTCTACTACTATCCTAGTTACTACATAATTTCAAACCCTCAATCATTAATACCATCAGAAAGTTTTATCAGTTGGAATGTCCCCATATTTCTTCTAAACAGTCGCATTATTCCGGTGAACGGTTAGGTGGTGTACTTAACTTATTTTCATCCACAAGAGTTCATAAAAATACCCGGTAAAGTTCGCAATATATTTCACATTGTTATAATTGTCAAACTCCCAACAAAACCAAAAGGCTACAGACAGGTACTACAGAAACCCATTTTAAAGTATATAAAAACCTACCAAATTCGAAAAAAGAACGTAAAACACATGTCAAACAATGTGCCATTAAAAAATTGTGCGTTACGGAGACATCACAAATCAAATACATCGAAGCGATCCTATGCCATTATTGACAATATGATACCGAGTGTGTAGGGATTTCTTGGGAACCAATCAAAATAAAAACAGCGACTACGCACGAATCCATCTGGTTAGTTACATTTTCCTCAAAAAAAAAGAACAAAAAAAATAAATGAAACGGCGTGGCGGCATTTCATTGTCGTGTCCCTTCGCCCCAGTTTTGGATAACCCTGCAACTAAGACCACATCATATCTGAGCCAGCCACACCTAGGCTGGCTAGCTTTCACAACGATGATATTTCGATTCATTATAAATCTTTACGCTTTGGCAACACTGTTTTTGCTTTATTTCACACTTTTACTCCTTCTCCCGGCGCTGCAATATCGAAATTTTGACAGTTGGCTCAGATATGATGGTATTTTTGAATGTGGCAAGTGTTCCAGATAAACCAATGTAAGGATGACAGATGTTATGTTTGAAACTCGCATGTCAAACACGCCAAACACCTGACATTAGGCGATCTTGTCATGCAGAGAAGGTGAGAGATAAATGGTGTTTGCATAATTCCGCATATGACCATACATGATATCAGAAGTCACATATTGACAAAAAATTATTTGAGCACAAAGTGGCTAAATAAAGCATCGTATGGATTTTTTTATAGCAAATCATTGACCTGCAAGTCGAAGATACAAAATAAATAGATGAAAAAAATTCTTGATTAAGATATTCGCCTTTTAGTGTGAGAAGTTGAAGCACTTTATCGAAAAATGAAACTGAAACACATGCGTTATTTCAGCTACCGATCTAATAGTGGATCGCAAGCTATAATAAAATAAATATGACCAAATTGACACTTTTATCCATGTGATCTGTTTCTACCATGTTCCTTTGTCAAGGAATCATTACAATGAAAATCTCAGTATAGTTATTGTTTATCTCCACCTCCTTGTATGATAAAGATCTTCAGTCTACCTAGTGACAGGAGCAACAAGAATAGCAAAGCCAATCGTGTTAAGTTGTTATTAAGGTTAGATGTTTGGTTAAGCATGAGTAATATGTTTGGTTAATTTTGCTCAAACGATGCTGCGATAGACGAAGATGTGTGTATGAGGGTGTGTGAGAAAGGCCGACACTGTGCCACAATCAAACTACCGCATTAGATTGTACAACAATTTTGACACAGTTGTCGAGGTTTCGAAAAGCGTCTCTACCAGGGAAAAATGTATTGTAAAGATAAACGACGCGCTTCCTTTTGTTTTAATTTTGTGACATTTCATTGTTACGACGTAGATGACAGGAAGACAGTTTTATGAATGGGAAAATTCGAAACTGGCTATATGACACAGATAGGAAACGAGAAACTATCGTTTCAATGTACTGAATATCAGGTATTTTTATATAAAAATTGTCCAAATGTTTCAAACATATATTTTCAGACTACAAACTCAAAAGTCTTATTTGCGACGAGAAATAAATTGCACATGTGACACATACAGGAAATAAACACAATCAAGTATTTTCTATGTTCCGCGGTATCAACTTTTTATGCAATAAATACCTATTAGAATAAAAAAATTATCAACAATTTTTGAACAGATTCTAGTATTTTCAAAATGTAGATTCAAAATTTTTATTTGCATATCATTCATCGCATTTTTTCGCCACCCAAGACATTTCATAACATTAAGTATTTCTTATTCTAGTTTTACTCGATTTTACCATCTATTTAACGGCTTTTCCACAACAAAGCATTCTAAAAGCATCAATATGCGAGTCCCATCTAAAACTACCTAAGCATAAAGTTGTAGTTTAACATATGGATAAGCTAGTTCCTCCAAAACTCTGTCATTCTGTCATCCGTAGTCGGGTTAAACTTTGGACAATTTCACTGGAAAATATCGAGAGAAACACTTTCCAAAACGTATACTGTCCCCCAAACTAGAAAAACCAATTCAATAGAACGAAGTGCCACCCGGCGTGTCGTTTTCACTTCGGTCGCCTGACGCTGGCACACCAAATAAAAGCTCTGGCCGAACAGGTTTCCCTATGATTGATACTAATCTTGACCCGCTAAGCATGAACACTATTGCACTAACATTTGAAGTGACCGACTACAACCCGCTACACACTTACTATGAAGAATTTGACAACGCGAATGATGTCTAAAAATACCGTTTTCGTCCATCCGACCAACCGAAGGTTAACCTTCTACAGCTGTTTCATGCTTATTAGCAATCATCAGCTCGGGCTCGGCTTGGTCTCGTGGTAGGACAACGAACGAAAGCAGAGCAAAGTATCATCTATCGGAGGTATAAGGTCGAGCCAAATATGATCGCCATCTATTACCAGCTTCACTCTCGCAGTGATCGATTCTGGTAATAGATGGCGCTGGTGCACCCAAATCGTATGTCACAACTGCCAGCATAATCTAGAGCTAATACTTTTCAGTGGCAGTCGATTAGATGTTATTCCTGTCGTAGTGATTGTCCGAAGAAGAACAACACGGAACGGGCAGGAAAATACGTAACCACGCTTCAAAATCTATAAAACAAATTCATGTTTGACAAGCCAAGACTCGTGGGGATCTACCGGTCAGAGCTTTTAGTTTCATGCGTCCGCGTAATGTTCCTATCAAATTAAACGAAACAATGTGTCAGAAGAATTTTAAAATAGAATTTGTGCATGTAAGCCCATACCGGTGTTGGTTGCCGGCCCCTTCCTCTAGCTGGCGTCGGGACCGACTGATAATCATAATAGTAATCTTCGTAACGGTAAAAGTCATCGTAATAGGGATCGCTGTAGCCGCCTCTATAGTCCCCGTAACCGTAATAGTCGTAATCATAATCTACAAAAAACAAGAGACAACAATGCCCAATTTTAGCCAACCAACAAACCAATTGTGTCGTTTTGATTCGATTTCTTTTTGCAATCAATCAAACGCCTGGAGAGGGGTGTCAATTTTACTCTACCTTAATTACTTACAAAAACAACAAAAATATTAGCATGCCGGGAAAAGAGTCAAGTAACGATTCTCGCCAAATGTAAAAGTATATTACTTCTAAGCGGCTACGATGAAGTCACTGCGCTTGATAAGTGGAATGTAAATGTACATACATTGGGCCATAGCTTGATTAATTCAACTAAAGTATTTCAAATGAACAGAGAATTCAGATGCATGGTCAGCAACAAATATTACATTTCATTTTTCGGCGATAACTGCAATGTGTCCTACGATTTTCTTCGACCCTTTCATCAAATCATTTGTCAAAAAAAAGTATCTCTTCAGAGCTATGTGCACCCCCTTCCCCCCCCCCCTCTCCCCCAAATTAATGCAGAATTTATCGCGCCCCTATGACAATGCAGTCTGAGGCTTACCGCCTCTAGCCGGCTCTGATAACAGGTGGAACATGTTTTCATATAGTTTAATTGCCAGAGAGTTCCATATCAAGATCTGTTTGTGTAAAATTTTGAACTAATAGTTGGTTTCACCGTATAAACAGATTCCTCATTTTGACACTATTTATTGCGGATCTCAAAATCAATATGAGTGCACCTACATAGTTAAGCCCATCATTTTCTTCGACGCCACAGTAACTTTATCGTTGCCTTGTAATCTATAAAATTATCGTAGCTTAACTACCACCTACATTAATTCTAACATTACAAACAAGCCCGAAATATTGTTCTAAATCAAAAATCATCATCTGATACATCTACTGTTTCCTAATTAATTTCCATAAAACGAAGTGCTGATCAATTGCACTCGCCACCATTTTCCTACTAGACATTTGACATGGCGTCAAAAATATGTGTTTTTCCATCACAGCAGTGATCAGTTTTCAAGCCCGATTAGGAATTTGACTGATCTGCGTTACGAACTGAAGTTTTTTTCGATAATTTTGAGTCAACCAATTGAATTACCACGGGCTCAGTTATAAAAACTTTATCTGACAGTCATGAGTCCCATTCACTTTTTAAATTTTTTCTGTTTATTGATAAATAAAAATATTTCAGTCAAAGAACAGTCCAATGCTTCACCAAGATCTAGCGCTATTACATTTAATGCGACGTTGTCTAATAATAAAATAATTAAAAACTCTATACATGACATATTTGTAATCAGGAATGATATCTAATTTTTTAGAACCCGCTGATTCACATTAAAAAGTAAGATTCTTTAAACGCCATGTCAAACGCACTATCTAAATAACCCCTAACTAACCAGTAAAAAATTTCATCACAGACGGCTACACCACAGCATATTGTTTACTTACCAGCTGCTCCTCGCTGCAAACTTTTTATCAAATACCTTTCCGAAAAACGGTTAAAATATCGAATACGAACAACAAACAACAACATCGAAAACACTAACAATACACATTAGATAATGACAAAAGGACAAAGAGGAAGAAATATGAAGATTTGCATGCATGTTAGAGATGTCTGGGAGGAGAGCAGCGTGCAATGCTTTACGATGCCCATTTGCCTTGCGCTGCGGTGCCCCCTTGCGCTGTTGCAGCTGCTGTCAAATATCTCGTATACCATTCTAACTCCTGTATTACTCTAGTAAATAGAATCCGATCGCCCTACAAAGTCATGTGGTTCTAATTTTTCGATATGTTGTATAAGCGATAGGAAGGTTCTAAGTTTTCAATCACAACTCTCCCCCTTCCACACTTCCTTCAAAATGAGAAGAATAGTTTACTATTTATAAATAAAGATATGTAAAGTACCACCTGAGAATGGTTTATTGAAACAATGAACTGAAACAATATACAACATGTCAAAAAATCAGGTCCACTGAACCATTCATAGGGTGAATTTGATCTATTCACTCAACTAGATGGCTTACTCGAGATATGCACCCCACTTTGAGATTCCTTGAGAAATGGTCAGTTGAGAGCAAAAACGTGGTTAACCAACTGTTAAAAATATGGGCTTAAAACGTGATAAAAATTATTTTAATGTCACCACTTTGGGAGGTTCAGTCAATTACAGTAGAATTTTTTGAACAATAACATTTTTTTCAGATGAGACCTAAAGAATTTTATTTACCTGATAATACTGTCTTCAGACAATGAACTCGGGGGCTAAAGACATGTTCGGATAGTCTATGTAAACTGTATTTTTTGTATCTTTTTTTGTTTCAATACAAGTGATATTAAAGAGCGAAGTTTTTTTTTTGAGGATTTTAAATAACATACTTTGAGATCCAAAGTGGAGCGCCAAAATCTTTTCAAACCTCACTTATTCCGCGTCAAAACAAACATGTTTTTTTGTTAGTCGCTGTGTTTGTTTTGAAAGGACGTAAATGAGATCAATGAGCCGATACGACCTAATCAAATGTCTCGGTTAAAACAAACTACATACATTCTGCAAATAGGTTAAGAAATACAGGCACTACTATTACACAAAACGTACTTTCAACCTGAAACAAATTCATAACAAATATTTTCGATCGGTGAATCCTCGCAGATATGTAGGCAGACCTTGATCGATGAGGTTGGGAAAATATGTATAAAAGGTAAGGGAAAACATAAAATCCTTGGTTAGTATTTGAAAAATTTATGATTTGTTAAAATATTCAGCCGGATTATCAAACCATTTAGCCGTATTTCTTCATAATAAACACTGCAAGTTTCATATCATTTTTTTTTTTTTAGGATTTCGGCGCGTTTCTATTAGATACATTTTTTGTTGTAGAAATATATAAATACAAGCGTCACAATAACATTCTGCATCAAAAAACTTTTTTCTAACATTGCCTGTTACCAATTACTCATACTTAATATGAAGAAATACGTTAACTAGTCGAATCCAAAGCAGATAAAAAGCAGACACAGTGACAAATGCAATATACTGGATATTACATTCGACACTACACTGAAAACGGCACGTGAACAACCGTAAATTTATTCTTTTTGTATACAGGGTCAGATTAAAGAAGAATGCACCTCATTTTTGGACCAGGTAACATATCAAGCGTCAAAACTCCATACTGTAGAATGATAAAAGGCCAAATCGGTTATTTGTAATGTGGAAGATTTACCAACAAGGCTAAAGGCAGGTGGTAAAACATAGTACTTTCAAACTTCTAGTATGATTGCCAACTGTTTTGAGAACTATAGATTATTTTGGTAAGTAGGACGTCAATATCATATAGTCAAAAAACGCTCTCGATTTCTGTCCATTCGAGACGAATTTTTTGTCCAGATAGGTGAATCTGTATTTACTGCGGTGCATACCATCAGTAGTTGCTATTAATTTCGTCAGTGTCAGTAAAGTTCTCTGTAACCTTAAACCGTCGTATGACATTCGCCTTAAACAGTAACTGAAGTACTCGTATACTAGTAAATATTAAACAAAAACAAGATATCGATTTGGTGCTTATTTTGGTAGTGAAACCTGGGCCAGGCACATTTATCATCAAACGTGAACACGAGGACAATGTATACAAAAAGTTCATCGATAGTGGAATAGTTACTTGACTAACAAGCAGACTAAGGAGGGACGTTTATATTAATAGAAAATCGAGGGATACGGTATGGCCGATAGAGACCAGCAATGGAATAATACAGTCGAGGCTGAAGGCGAGCTTACCGTAGTCACCCCTGCCCATTGGACCGCCGCGCATCCCTGAGGATCCTCTGGAACCCGCCTGGCCTGGTGGTCCACGCAGTGGCATCGTTCCTGGCATCATGCTGCTTTGAAGGCACAAAAATGACATCAGGTCAAGGGATAGCATACAGTAGCGGACAAAAGTGTGGAAACAAATAACATTATGAACTATTTCATATACATAAACTAAAATTGTGAAGGAACAGATAATATAAATATTAAAGTCTACCTTTGTCTCCCGTACTAATACAAGGTTTATCTTATCAATATTCAAATTCTCTGAAAATAAAAACGCGTTTTTTTAAATATCACAGTTTTTGTGACAAAAGTATGGAAACATTTCAGATTTTCCATAATTATTCGTTCTGCGACACTCTGATATTGCGTGCGGTAAATATCCCTAGAACTGCACACTGGGGTGTCAGATATCCACACAATCATATTTTTGTACCTAGTTTGCGCAAGTGCAGAAATTTAGCTCCATATTATTTCAGTTTATGGTGCCAGCAGTCAGTATCCAGTGAGAAGTCAAGGTCATTGCTGCCGATTTTCGTGAAATTTGGGATCACTTTGTCGAAAATTGCAAATCCTACTACACTCCATATGTAAACTGTACTGTGGGCGAACAACTGGTGGGAATTCGAGGAAGATGTCCATTTATTGTATATAACCAAAATAAGCCGGATAAGTATGGAATAAAGATAGTAATTATGAATGACTCAAAAACTTTCTATATGATAAACGCTATTCCATATGTAGGTAAAGTTATGGTTGAAAATAAAGAACCAGTGACTTCATACTACGTAAGAAAACTGGCAGAACCAATATACGGAACTGGGCGTAATATCACTATGGATAATTATTTCACATCCATTCCTCTAGCAGATGAAATACTTGAACATACAATCTTGGGTACCCTACGCAAAAATAAAAGAGAAATTCCACCAAGTTTCTGACCAAAAAAGATGTAGGTACAGCTATTTTTGCGTACGATGGAAAAAACACTTCTTCAATTTACTCCAAAGAAACAGAAAATTGTTTTGGTATTGACCACATTATACACCGATTCATCGATAAATAAAGATACCCTAAAACCAAATATAATTCATTTCTACAATGAAACTAAAGGTGGAACCGACACTTTTGATCAGCTCCGTCACTCATATACAACATCAAGAAAAACGAGTAGGTGGCGTCTGAGAATTTTTGTTTTAAATGCTGGATGCTGCTCGTATAAATGCAATGGTGCTTTTTTCCCTCGCCAATCCGAAATGGAAAGAGAACTCTAAAAATAATCGTAATTTTTTATAAAAGAATTGGTAAATTCACTGGTTGAACCCCATCTACGAGAGAGGCTACAAGTTACGACGTTACAAACTTCATTGCGCAAAATATTAGCGACATTTTACGGCTAGATATTCCACAAAAAGATTATCCCCAGGTAAATCCGCCAAGACAATCAAGATTTGTTTTATGCCCACGAGACAAGGACAGGAAAAGAAAGCATGCTTGTGCTGGGTGTCATAGGCCCTATTGCATCGAACATAGGGCTAGACCTTGCTGCGAGTGTGAAAATCACCACGAATGAACCAAATATTGCAGATTGTGGCTAAGAAAGGATATAGGTATTATCGGAATCAGATTTTTTTTATATACGATAAATTCTTTCCTTTGAAATTAAGAAAAAATTTTGTAATATATTTCAAGATTTTTTTTATATATTATTTTTTTTATGACATTGTTAAAAATGTACAATTTTTTTATTTTTCGCAATAAAACATATTTAGCTAAGAACTCAATTATTTTTATACTATAAATATATAAACCGATATTCATTGATATTATTTCTTACAAAAATGAAACCGAATAAAATCTTCAATAAATATAAAAAAATCCTTATGGGGTTACAGAAACCCCAGTGTGCAGTTCTTGTGTTAAAAAATAAGTGTGCAGTTCTAGCTATATTAACATCAATGAGAATGGCAAAAGTAAAAGAATTTTCAAAGGATTTAAGAGAGAAAGTAATTAAATTGTCAGAAATGTTGATGAAAGCAAATTTAACTTGTTTGGATCTGACGGTACGGCATATGTGAGACGTCCAATACGAAAAAGTTTCGGCAAAAAGTATGAAATAAAACTCAACTCACCCTCCCCTAACTTGCATCATCTGCATCATCCGTCTTTCTCGCGCTCTTAGTATTTCTTCTTTTTTCTTTTTGTCGGACGGAGGTTTGGCTAATGATACTTCAATATGTGATCCACCCATTTCTTTACCGTCTAATTCTTCCATTGCCTGTAACAATCAAAATATAAGTGAGAAACTGCAATGCATATGACACGAAAAACTGAAAATACATCAAAACTGTAACCACTGAGTTATGCAGCATGACTTCCCAATGTGAAGTATCAATGTACAGCTTAACGTAAGTAAATTGCAGGTGATGCCTAGCACTCTTGATATACCGCTGAATGAATGAATCATGAAATTAGATACATATCGGCCACAAACTGTGCACTTCTGCATCCCTTAGACCATAAGCCTCGCCATTCCGACGAAGACATACCCCTAGTGTTTATCACAAATTTTGTGTAAATAAATAGATGATAGTACTTACTTTAACTGCATTATCCCTATCTTCAAAATGTATAAACGCATAGTCTTTGATCTTTTTCACTCGTTCCACTTTGCCGAATGCCTCAAATGAAGCTTTCAATTTTTCTTCTGTGATCTCTTGGGTAAGGTTCCTTACATACAACACCTTCACTTTTGACATTGTCTGTTCATCGGGTTCTTCTTGAGGGTCTGCCCAGTCAACTATTATGTCGCAGCCCCACACCTTGAAAGAATTAAACAAATCAGTTTCTAGTTGAGATACTTGACTTTACAATGCAATGGATCAGTGATTATAGTTGCGTTCGATTAGACATCTAGGTAGGTAGAAGTAGATGGCGGTAGTTTCGGTTGGCGGCCATTTGTAGGGTTAAAAACAGCTTACATTTCTGAACTCTATTTCACGAGATGTTGGCAATAATGAATCGGGTGTAAATCTACTAAAACTTGCTTGTAGGTGTAAATCTTGCTTGTAGCCTTTTTTTTAATGCAAATAAACTTTTCTAAATAAAAAAGTTCTTAACATAAATATATTGAAGAAAATAGGATATTGACAAAATTTCAAGCAGGATTCAGAAAAAAGTATTCTACTGAAACAGCAATTCAAATGGAAGTAGAAGAATGGAGGCGAAATATGGATAAAAACAGTTTTCAGTAACATTGTTCTTAGATTTCAAGAGAGCATTTGAGACTATTGACAGGGAGAAATTGTTCACGAAATTGCATTGCTATGAATTTCAAGGTTCAGTATTCAACTTATTATAAAATTATTTAATCAATAGAAGTCAAAGAACTAAAATTGGCAATACATTATCAAACATTTCGGCAGGTGTGCTCAGGGTAGCAAATTAGGTCCATTACTATTTATTTTATATATTAACGATATTCCTGATATTTTACAACACTGCAAAATTCAACTATCTGCTGATATATATATCAAATAAAGACATTGACACTGCAATAGAGCTGTTAAATAATGATATGAAAAACTTAATAAATTGTTTAAATGTAAATAAACTTAAACTAAATACAAACAAAACAAAATATATGCTAATAGGAAAATCTTTAGATCAAAATACGATAAATCTTACAATTATCATGAAAAAATTGTTTCAATCGAATCATTTAAATATTTGGGCATATACGTAGACAGTAAATTAAAATTTGAAGGGCACTATGAACATATTATTTCAAAAATATCTAAGAAAATAAATTACTTTTATATAATTTCGCATAGCCTAAGCGTTTATTCTAAAAACACACTATTATTCTTCCTCATTTGTTATATTGTTCGACAATTTTGTTCACTGCAAATGAAACTGTATTTTCAAAATTACAAATATTACAAAATAAAACTATGAGAACCATCTTAAATAAAAATAAATATACTAGAATAAATGTTATGATGAAGAACTACAATGGTTAAATATCAAAAATTTCATAGCCTACTTGGTTTTCATATTCAAGTTAAAAAATCATCTTCTACCAAATCACTTGTAAATTTTTATTGTATTGAACAATGAAATGAGTGCGACAATTATTCTACTAGAAGAAGTATAGACTTTCATTTACAAAACTGCAGTAGCAATATAACGAGCAAGTCAGTATTTCAAAAGATATTGTACGAATTTAATAAATTAAGTAATGATATCAAGATGTGTGTCAGTTTGAAAATGTTCAAAGGGAAATTGAAAAAATATTTCATGGAAAACCAGAATTCATACTAGTGAAATTTTGTATGAAAATATGTAGTCTTGTAGACATAATATATTTTGTGATATACTGTGTAATATGGATATTATGGATATCGATTAATGCTAAATAAATCTGAAAAAAACAAGCAAGTACAATATGAATCTGAAGCGTACAAAAAACCAAAACGAAATACGCCCACCTGGCGTTGACGGATCCGTCAGAATTGTCATGTGTCAATATGGGCAATTTTAAAATATTACTAAATAATCAGCTGTTATAATGAATGAAAAGACTTTATAACATCTGCTTTTTTTTCCATCCACTCTTGACAGTTTAACCTCACTAGCGCCGCTTAGCAGGAGCAAAATTGCTATCCTATGTACTACGAAATAAGAAATATACTCACTTTTATCCTTCCTGTTCCCAATCTTCTTTTTGCCAATGAGGCTGCTTTGTGTGACTCGTACTCCAGAAAACAGAAGCCGCGGTTCTTTTTCTTGTCGTCGGGCGATGAATATATGATCACTTCCACAAGGCCGGCTGAATGTTGAAAGAACAAACGGTTAATCCATATGAAATCGTATCAAACAGCTGAGGCATTATAAACACGTGGGAATTTTTGAGTCTTGGATGAGCACCAAAGTCCACTGCTCTATGTAAAACTTGTTCACTAAAAAGCAAAATGCTTCTGCTCTGAGCATCGAAATTAGTCCAGTAACTATTTGATTCCCTATCTCTGGATTAAAGTAACCCAAAAATGATAAAAAATCTAATTTCACTATAAATTTTCACTTCCTAAAATTTCCAAAACTGATGACAAGGTCCTGAATAAATTTTATTATGCCCCATGCAATGCCTGTTCTAGGTTTTCTCGACATATCATTTTATTTGAACAAAAACTACGCATTTTTTTGAAACCTTAAAACTATTTGTGTGAGTGTTACTGGACCAAAGTGGTGTTAGTTTCTACCCAGCGAGCGGTAATTCTGAACCTACTCAAAATTGAAACGTATGTAACATACAGAGAAATCCAATTATCACTGACATCGTAATATGGTACGAAAGAGAAGTGCGAAAAACGTGCAATACTATGTTAGAAATAGTGCATCGATGGCAACGCGGCAAGCCGCAGTTGCACCCGTGGCCTCGTCACTCGGGTTGCTAGGCAACGTGGTTGTTCTACCTCTTTGTAACATTCGTATTGCAGGCTTCTCGCGCTTCTCTCTCGTACCCATTACGACGTCAGTGGTATATGGAATTCAATGCATATGCTTGGCGGAAACTTGGTTTCACTAGGTGAAATATTAAGTCGAACAAATTGAAATACACAATAACCTCAATATAATATAAATGAGTTTATAGAGGCTCTGCTTAATCATTAATAATGACTAGAATAAGAAGCGTTTTAAAAAGAAAGCTTAACAGCAAAAATTTCGTTATTTCCTCTGAATATATTTTAGAAATACTCAAAGTTCTTTGGTATCATGTTGCTAAAAATTAGTTCAGTTCAGTTAAAGAAAGTATGGTTATATAAATGTAGTAGTTTTCGCGAGATAAACATTTTTTTTCAAAGAATGTCAAGATTTAAATCGAACGATCTGGTGACAATACTACCTAATATGTATTTAGACTTTAACTTAATGACACTGTAGGCAGCGAAGCTTTTCACATTTTTGTTGATGATAATTTAATTAAATGGCATATGAAGTTTCCCAAAATGTTTGGGGATGAAAATCTCGAAAATCTGGAGTTAAACTCTTCTCATAATATTCGAGTAAAATGAGTAGAAAATATTGTTTAAGCGGTAGTAGGAGTTGCTTCAGATGTGACAATCACTGTTCCAGTTATTATACACAAGTACAAGAATGAAAAATAAAACAAAAAATACTTCAACATATATGAATAAAGTCTTGGAATACTACATTTAGCAGAAGTGCAGCATAAACGGCAGTTTCTGGACCTTGAGACCCTTCCTAGTGCTAGTGTAGCAGCCCTGCCCTACCCTTTGCTCAGGCGAAGACTATCGCATTCCAAATAAAAAACGAATAGCGCTACGCGTCAAAAGAAACATTGCGCTCTTAACACAGGCATGGAATTAAGAAAAAAGGTAAGGATATCGCTAATCGTTACGCGTACTGCCCAAGGACGTAATGTGTGGGATCAAAAATGGTGTAAATATCTTGAAATACATAGTTGTCTATTATAAAATTCAAAAACCTGAATTACTGGATGCAATAGGCTGTAAGATTAGTTGGTAGTGTTTCCTTTCTGCTATCAAAAGCAGTCTTCCAACATTATCTTGATTATTGAGGATAGTGATGCACTGAACTATATCCAAAATTACTTGTTTGTTTTTCGTTTTTAAATATATTAGTTGTCAAACTAAAATAATGGAAATATCAAAATACAATTATAAACGACAGTCATTTTATTTGCTCAGGTGTTTATATTGTATTAACCTAGGGATGCAAAATCTACCTGAAAGGCATAGTAAAAACAAAATGTTTTAGCCAGTAAGATGGAATATCGACACACACTTTTTAAAAATACAAGCTCGGTTAGCCTATCTGACACCTATTTTTCACTAGGATATTGGGATCCCATATTTTTTTCTTAAATCCATACCATTCATGTGCATAGCGCAACGCAAATTATGCAAATTTTGACGCCTAGTCATCATCAACAATAATACAGGTGTGTGTTATTAGAGGATGGGTATCTGTAGTATATTGCTCATCAACTTACGTGCATGCTTGGAAAATTCTTCCAAGAGATCGTCTCGATCCCGGTTCTTTGGTATATAGCCCACAAATAACCGGTGATTGTTAAAAGATATGGTTACGCCAATCTTTTTGCCTTTCCGTATCTCATAATCATTCAGCTGCAAGAACAGTGGAAGGGTAGCCAATTATGCCATGGGCAGAGGGGTGGGGAAGGGGGGCTATTTTAAGGATGCGCTTTCTTTCTTTCCAGTTTTTCGCAAAAGGGGTTGCATGTACGAGCCCGCAGTCACTAGCTACTGATTAAATTTAGAGTCAAATTAGAGAAAATGGGAGAAAACATCATATACAGCACATGTTTCAGTATGCATATTCCCGACTCTGAAAGGATAACAAAATTAGAATGAGTACCATTATCATAAAAAACAAATGTTTTTTCAGGTATGCTGCTTTAGCACGCAAAGGCAAGAACAAAAAAAATTCCAAAGAAATGATTCCATCACATCTACAATATCGATTTTATGGGAAATTTTGCAATTTGTACACATACCTCATATATTGAGAAACCCACAATTAACAATAAATTACAGTATTCTCCAAAAAGATACGCAACCATATGGACATTCACTTACAATTCCCAACAGCAATGTTGCCAAGTAGTATCATAGTAGCCCTTTAGAGGTAATAAAAACTCGATTTTCCTCTTTGAGAAAATTATTTCTAAATATGACTTCCAAGTCTCTCGCAATTAGATTTCGTATTCTTAGAATTTCTCAACGACGGGAAAATAACTCCATAACTTGTGAACTTATGAATTCGAAACCAAAACAAGAACAAGAGTAAAATATTCCCTAGATGATGCTACCCATCCTAGCTTTTAAACCCTTCCATAATGTATACACACCAAACATGACTGCACACAATATTATTCTCCCACTTCTATGCAGACGTTTTAGTCCAATTTGACTGTAGTAATTGATTTTTTTTCCACATTACCTGTCAATTTACCAAATTCTTCCAGTATCTCCTCTTTGCCTTTTGACTTTGGTATGTTCCCGACGAATAGACGAAGATTTGGTACGCTAATGTTAATTTTCAGGGTCTTCCCGGGTTTGATTTCGTAATTATCCAACTGTGGGTTAAAGAAACAAAAGAAAAACATTGCCAAAGTGTAAAGATTTAGTTGCCAAACTTATATTAAATTTAGGTTCATTCTGCATGTGTGCTAAACAATCAAATAATTTAGTTACACCAAAACAAACAATTTTGCGATTCAACACAAATTTCAACAACATTGTTTTCGTTGAGCAGATCAACCGTACTATTAAAACATCGAAAAAATGTTTAGAATAATCCAAATATTGAATGTCATATAGAACATTCATCAAGATAGCTTGAACACATATGTTAAAAATTATTTTCAAGCACCAGGCCATCTTTAAACACAGCTAAATTTTGTTAAAATTACAATCATTGACTTAAAAGAATTTTAAATGGTTCTTGTTCGCGATATATGGCGAGAGCTACTGCTAAAAAGTTCAATTTCTTTGCGTTGAAAGTAAAGTTTCTGGTATCTAATCGTTGGCAGAACTGGTGGATTTCTATTGAATTATTCAATCCAAGAGTCTGTCTCTTACAGTTTCGATTTGGATAATTCGAATATGCATAACAAATAGAATTCAATATTTTTTATTGATCTGCCCAAAATGAAATTAGTGACGCACTCGATATTCGATGGATAAAACTAAAATAACAAAAGATTTGAAACAATATGAATTTAAAAATATTTTTTGCAACAAGTGCGTCAATAATTAGCGAACGGTTTTTGAGACATACGACTGCACGAAAATTAAAATCGGAGACGTAGAAAAAATATCCAAAGCCCGTTCGATTAGCTCAACCTTAGCGTTTACTCAAAATGGCAGTTGGATATACTACATAATCGGAAAGTTTCAGATTTGGAATGCAAACGGATTTTCCAAATTTCAAATTAAATTCACCAAAATGGGAAGAAACCAAAGCTTTCACATTGTGCTAAAATTGTTATTGATAAGTGTTTTGATTTTACTATAGCGGGCCTCGAAACACAGAACACTTATTGATACTTTCGAAATCTATATCAGTACAATTAAAAAATAATATCTAAAAAAACGTAAGTTTTTTTTTCAAGTTTAAGTGTAAAATAAACAAAAAATATAACGTATTTTCGCCAGCATCAATAACAATTTTAAACAAAACTGAAAGCTTGAATAATTTTGTTCTGTAGGTTCATATTTTCTTCATCCTACTAACACCAAAAGCAAATAAAAAACAAAGGAAATAGGAAACTTGTCGTACATCAACGAACTACCACCTTTTCGTGTCAAAACGACACAAGTTCGGAATTTAAGAGTCCCAGTCTCAATTTTGCCCACATCTGTGCAAAGAGGAGACCTGTAAAGCACAAGAAAAATATTTCAACATTAGGAGAATTTCCAACCGAAATGAGACACGGAAAACATAATCTCTGTCAGGAAAATTTTGCACAACCATGGCCAATGAGATGAAGTCTTACATACACGACTTCATTTGTTTCGAGTCAGAGAATTTTGACATGCCAAATCATGGGCTCTATTCTTTCAATTTCAATTTGGAGGATAGCTACTAGGGAAGAAGAAGAAGTAGTACTGTATGCTCCGTGGTCAAAGCCGCTGCAACAAAATTTTAACATTGGTTACTGTCGGCTATGACGACAGCTGACACACATTCACTATAACATTAACCAAGATATTGTATAATCTTGGGACTAGTCTTGATAATTTAAATATTTAGTACAGAAAAATATTGTGAATTATTTCAGTTGTGCATAGTGAGCCAAAGGACTGTTAAACTAGGACCAAAAGGCACAGAGTGCTCACATTCTTTTGTCATCTCGTAACAACGTAAAATGTGAGAGACTGTATAACAATGTTAACATATTCAAGAAGCCAGCAGCCGCATCATGTAAAAACAGGAAATACAATTCAGATGTACAGCAACAATTACCACCAAGTGCTAAACTAAGTAAGCAAGTAATTATAACTTATTACTTACATAATTGTTAGTTTTTCGTAGTGTGAAGGTTTTTACTTTTTAAAGCACTTTTATCCTGAAATTACGGACTAAGATTACTGAAAGCGACATTGCAAACAATATGAGAGTGATAAAAAACGAATGGTATCTTTTGCAAGGGTTAGTTTTGTTTTTAAGATGATCTTAGCTACAGTCCTTTTGGTCGAAGAACAAAAAAATGATTATACAATATCTTTGGGAGGAGAAACAAATAAGACAAATAAGATGTTGGTCTGAATTCCCACATGCCAAAGCATTGGCTACTCAGGTTGTCAGACCAGGTTACACCAGACCACTAGACAGTGCTTGATCGGCACAAGGTGCACCAATACCAATTTGGAATTTGGGGGAGAAATTCAGAACAAATTTGGACAACCAGCTCAGATTTCCCAAAGAGTATACTGAAAAAGAAACAAACAAAATGGTTTAGTGAAATTTCCAATCCGTTTCCAAATAGAATATATATTCCGATTGTGTCCGAACTACCACATACAAAATAAAACAAACATAAACATACACAAAATGTAAGTCTTGGATATAATGGTCTGTTGAAACCTCTAAAGAAATGGGGTTAAGAGGTTAGGAGGTGATTAATTTTAAATCCACAAATTAAACTTACAGTTTGTGATAATCGAAAAATGTATACCAATTGTTTTTTTTTTTAGATAAATTCTACTAAACCAATCACCGATTTGTTAAAATGTATTTCTGTACAGATCGTCATCATATGCTCTGCTTTCTAAAAGCATGCTTTGTTGTATTTAGTATAGATTAGATTTTTTTATTCCAATAGCTAAACGTTTTTATAAAAATACAAATTATTTCCGTCAGGTTATCCACAAACTTAAGACAACATGGAGAAAATTTAGTAGGAGAAAATTTTTTAGGATTGACACAAAACACAGTGTTTATTGTGACATTAAACATAAAGAAAAATGAATGACGTTCTGTACAATACAGAGCGTCCAAAATTGTGTAAAAAATAAAAATGCATAGTAAAAATGTATTTTGTATTTATGTCGCTACAAATAACTAAATACATAAATTTATGATTCTGGACACTCTGACCATCTACACACGAAAAAGAATGACAATCAAGAAAACGCATATCAAGAAGTTTAAGGAAAATATTACAATGGACTCAATTCAAATACTGTTGGAATGTAGGTACTGTGCATGTCAGCTATGGAACTATAGAACATTGTTGAAACACCAAAACTATCAAAAATATAATGGATGAATGTCTTCACTGTCTTCTGATTATGCCTCAAAATAATTTTCGTTGACTGCCATTCTTTTCCAGAAAATTCTACTAAATGTTGATTAAAAACGTAAAGTAAGAATTCTACCTAGTCTTACTACTTTGAACGCCCTGTATCCATCACCTAAGAATCACAGTCCTGGACCGACAGTTTGAAAAGAAGTTCTCTATTGATTTAGCTGTCTACAACTTTTCTCGGCTCTACGTACACTTAATATTAAGACAAACAATATAGAAAATATCTATATTTCTGCTTCTGACTTGTCACGTCAATATCAAGAAATGCTACATTTTTTATCAAGACAATGGAATAAATAGATCAATAATATATCCAAACGTAAATCAACGAATGCCAAAGTATCGACATAATTTATCACTAGACACTACAAAGTTTAAAAGTATGCATTTTCGAAATATGATATAACTTTTTGCTGTAATCAGAACCAGAAAAATCAAAATAGATATTGAGTTACGGATGTCTTGGAATGACAAGTCTATGAGATATCTTGCGAGGGTTTTCAATGCAACTTTATGAATTTTTACGTGCGCACCACTATTTTCGCAAGGTGCCGCCTGCCTTCATGTTGCAAAGCTTCAAATATTGTAGGCAGACACCTTGGATTTTTTAAGAGTGAGGTCGCATTGGAGGTTGTAAGCTTAGTAGAAGGATAACACGTTAGTCGCGGAGATAGGTCTCCAAGATATCAAGAGGCAAAGATTTCTAGGTAGTGAGATAACGTCCTATTCACTTCGATATCTACTTTACATAAATGTTTGCTATAACTCAAAAAGTCATACTAACCCGATATCCTGATATCAAAAAAAGTTTTCGAAAAGATTAAAAATAAGTGAAAATCTGCATTTTAAAATTTGGAGAAATCGTTAATTTTAAAATCTTGACTTGTATGAACTATTAAAAAAACTGAAAAGGCAAGTTGATACGGAGAAAAACAGTCTCACAAAAGATTCAGTACTCTAGCTATAACAGTTGCGGAGATACGACTTGTCAAAATTAAGTGTTTTTCATAAAGGTTGTCCAGAATCTCAACAATTTAAACCCTACCGTTTGAAAGGCCGATTCAAATCTGCCATAAAGAGAAGGCTTTTCCATTCGAAAAAATAGGTCACCAAGTAATTATCAATCACCTGCGGAGATAAAAATATTCTCCAAGTCAGGAGCATACAGTTTGTTATATTTCTGTAACTTTTTTTTTATACCATGCCTCACACTTAAAACCCACCCTCTATACGAACTATATGTTTTATTCGGGGATATACATCATCCTAGCATCTAGCCCACCACTTGCCGCAAAGCCGGGGGCAGATTATGACAAGACGATGTCAAAACAAATTTTAAGAGAATCACGCCTCCGCCCCCGGTGTGGCCTCAGCTTAAAGCACCTCAGGGATTATTGATTTGAGGCGCTAGGACCCGTCAAGTTAGAAGTGACAGTGACAGAAAAGTGTGTCATTCCTAGACATCCGCCGAAGAGAGTGCATTCATCCACTCACCCACGCATACGTGTTTTACGAACGTAGTCACCTGCACCGACTTGTTCAGACCTCCAACCAATGAGCTACCGCGAATGTAGACCACTTAAGTGCCCACTTACCTTGTGCACGGCCTGCTGTGCGGAGTCCCTAGTAGTGAACGTGACGAATGCGTAGCCGCGATTCGTCCCAGTCATGGGGTCCATCATCAGCCGCAGGTCCCATATGGGGCCGCACTGCTCGAACAACGGGATCAACTCGTCTTCGAACATGTCCTTGGGGATTTTACCGCAGAACACTTCGCACCCGGAGCCGGGCGGCGGGCCTTCCCAACCGGGCGGCGGGCCACCGTACTTGCGCTGTCCTGAAAAATATTACGAGTTTTAGACGTATTTTCATGGGGTTTGGCCTCAAGCAAAACGAAACTCTGCCAAGTGACAGAATGCATGTGTAAGAATCATATGCTGACAGGAATTGCGACGACACAAATTAAAAAAAAATGAGTCATCAGTTTGTAAACGAATATGTTCGACACAAGTTAGCCCTTCCGAGGAAAAAGTTAGATATGTTCATGCATAACAAAAAATTAAAACTGACTGCCGACTGCGACCATCAGCCGGACTGCGTCGCACGTATCGACACGCGACTGTTGGAGATATCTTCCAAGTTTTAAGGGTAAATGTAAGGTGCGAAATATGGGGTTGTCCAAAATGGACGCAGGAAAGTAAACGCATATTAAAACAAGAAAGATTGATATTCAAATCAAGTTGGGTACTTTGTTTTGAAGGTTCATTTATATCATTTATGTATGAAAAATAATATCGCTCAAATGTTCACCACGACTGGATTTACAGACGTCCACGCGATGGTCGGAATTTTTAATGACATTTTGCAACATGGTCGGTTCTATGGCATTTATCTCGGCAATGATGTTGTTTTTGAGTTCCTGGAGGGTGGCTGGTTTGTTGACGTAGACTTTGCTTTTCAAATATCCCCATAAAAAGAAGTCCAATGGAGTCAAATCGCACGATCTTGGTGGCCATGGCACATTTCCTCTGCGCGAAATCACGCGATCACCGAAGAAGGACTACAATCGATGGATATTGACGTTGGTTGTGTGGCATGTTGCACCGTCTTGTTGGAAATAAACATCGTCCATATCCATTCCTTCAAGTTGCGGCAAAAAATAGTCCGATGATGCCTTTTGACCACAATGCACACCACACAGTTACTTTTTGAGGATGCATCGGCTGCTCTTGATACTCACGGGGATTTTCGTTCGCCCAGATGCGGCAGTTTTGCTTGTTTACCGTCCCATTCAAAGTGAAATGCGCTTCGTCGCTGAACATGATTTTTGATGAAAAATTGGCATCAATTTGGCGGTGTTCAAGGAGCCAATCTGAGAACGTTCGGCACGAAAAATGGTCGGCCCGACGCAGCTCTTGCGTCAATTGGATCTTGTAGGCGTGTACATTCAAATCCTTGTGGAGAATGCGGAGCAAACTGGTTCTCGAAATGCCCAATTCTTGGGATCGACGCGTTGTTGATTGTTTCAGATCGTCTCTCACACTCTCCTTCAAACAGCAATATTTTCCGGTGTGCGAACGCTCCTTGGCCTGGCAGATTTGCCACAGAACCTGTTGCCTCGAATTTACGCACCAGACGACCGATGGTTGTTTCGTTTGGGCGGTTGTTGCGACCGAAATGTTCACGAAGCGCGCGAAACGTGTTTTTTATTTTTGCACCATTTTTGTAGTGCTTTTGAATAACTTTAATGCGGTCTTCAATCGAATACGACTCCATAGCGATCAATAGTAAACATTCAACTAACAAAATGACATGTCGGTGACAGAAAACAAAGATGGAGTCTATGTCAAATTGACGTTTACTTTCCTGCGTCCCTATTGGACAATCCTATATAAACAGAAATTGTATCCGTTGCTTACCGGTCGTGACGTCCAATGTATACCCGGTCCTGTCCAGTATCTGCTTGATCTTCTCCTCGTCGGGGCCTTTGGCGGGCTGCGGAGCTGGAGGCGTGGCACCTGCCCCGCCGCTCGCTCCGCCACCCCCCGCCCCCGCTCTGCTCTTCTGGCGGTAGGTCTTCATCACGCCGCACAGGTACGCCGATTTGTTAGAGACATGTTCCAGATTTGATTCCAGGAACTGGCCGAGAACGTTCAAGGCGCCATCCACTGGGAATTCCTGAAAACAAAACAAACATTATAGAATAAATGCCGGTTCCAGGATTATGTTCAATGGAGTGTATCGTTTCTAAAATTTCGGCGCTTCTATTGGCATTTACCCTTTGCGGCCTACTGGTCTTCTGGGATGACCACCAATTCATAGTCAATGAAATGATAGCCAATAGTGGGGAGCATATCCGCATACCAAAGGGGAAGGATTTTGCTTAATTCCATCCAATAATGGGACGAATCATAATGAAGTTTACTTCCAACGCCATTGGGCGAGGACGTATTGTAGTCGCGGAATTTTTTTTTGTACTAAGTGACATATAAATCCGAACACCCAGTTTAAATGGTTTTATTTTAATAAAAGTTGGTGAATTTTCAGGCTTATCAGTTGGACATTCCGGTTTTTATACTGCTTTTTTTTAATTCACTAACGCTCTAAAAATGAATATTTCAGCCGCAGTAAAGAATCAACGTTGGCGGATTTTGGTTCTTGACATCCTTTACGATCGGTTACGATGCCTAGAGTACGGAGACCTGTACGATTTCGTCAACTTAGTGAGTTTGATAGGGGCCGTATAGTGGGACTGGGAAGCTGGACTTTCTTTTCGGGCAATTGCAGTTAGAGTGCAAAGAAGTGTAGACACTGTGGTTAGGTGTTGTCAGGCATGGCTTCGAGAAGGCCGTACGCAAAGAGCAAGGGGCACTGGACGCCGCCGTAGAACAACAGACCGTGAAGATCGCCGCCTAAGATTATATTTCCCCTTAAGGGACCGTTTCTCCACTACCAGGTACATTGCAAATGAATGGTTTGCAGAACACGGAAGACCTATTGGCATGCGAAGTGTTTACCGACGAATGAGAAGTTTTGGCTTGTTTTCATACCGGCCACACTGGGTCCTCCCTTTAACTCGAGAACACCGACGTAATCGCCTTGAGTGGTGCAGACAACGGTCACTCTGGGATCAGGAATGGAACAGTATTGTCTTTAGTGACGAGTCTCGATTTTGTTTAGGCATGCACGATGGTCGTGCCAGGGTTAGAAGGCGACGTGGTGAAAGGAGGAATCCACAGTTTTTTTTTTGAAAGACATGTTCATCACACTGTTGGAGTTATGGTTTGGGGTGCTATAGCTTATGGTTCCAGGTCACCTTTAATCTTCATCAGAGGTAACATGAACGCGCAGCGTTATATCCACGAAGTTCTAGAACCCCATCTTTTACCCTATCTTGACACCCTGGCAGATCCAACTTTCCAACTAGATAATGCCCGACCACATGTTGCAAGAGTCACAATAGACTTCTTTCAACATAATGATGTCACATTGTTACCATTGCCACCAAGATCTCCCGACTTATCCCCAATTGACCACGTGTGGGATATGATGGGTAGGAGATTGCTCAATTTGCAACGTCCTCCTCAGACTCTAGAAGCACTTCGAGAGGAGTTGGTGGTTGCCTGGAATGAGATACCACAGGAGGACATTGACCACCTGATCAGAAGCATGCCTAGGCGCGTTGGAGAATGCGTAGCACATCACGGTGCATCCACACATTATTAAAGGTCAAAGGGCTTTAAAGCAGTGCAATCATTTTGAAATTTTTATCATTTACTTATTATGCTTCATTAAGTACTTATACAAAATTTTATTAAAATAAAACCATTTAAACTGGGTGTTCGGATTTATATGTCACTTAGTATAGTTTTTAGGGCAGGTATACTTTCACAAAAAGTTATCTCTCACCGACAATCGCATCTATAGTAATTTTGCATAAAACTACATAGTGTGTTTAGGTTAGTTTTACGAAATGTAATAATATTCGGGATGGAATATTCACAGGGAGAAACGTGAAATAAGTGCAGAATTTTGAACGAAATATAGAAATTGTACTGTGCAGATTTTTCTCGGTCTAGATATTCCCGATATTTACACCCCTACGATTTCTACGTTGCGTGGACATTCTGAATGTGAAATATGGGGTTCTTAAGACATTGCGTCATGCAAAGCTTGCTGATCAACTTTTATAGTCAAGGTACTAACATTTATACACGCGGCATTATTCATTTTGAGTTTTACTACACTGTTAACCATCTTTATCGGTGTTTAATCTTGGCGTAGCTTGTTTAATGACAGTTTTACTAGCAGCATTATACCTTCGCACATTAAATTTTTTTTATTCTATACTTGTTGAGTGGTACATTAATATTGCAAACACATGTTTTTTTAACTCTCTGGCCGAATGTGTTGAAATTACACTTCACTTACGTTTCGGACACCACGGTTGCCTTTTTCAAAGTACAGTTTGCGAAAACCAAGTTCGCCAATTTTGGCCTAACAGTCAGGGTTTAAAATTGCTTTGAACTAAAGCAATCTCGAAATTCCCTTCGGGACATTGTAAAGAATAAAAATTTTCCAAGCAAAACATTGTAATTTACTTAAATAAAAATTGTTTAAGGCAAGTCAAAATCGGAAAATGGACTGTAGATGTTTGAAAATGTACCTTAAGGGCATCCAACGCACGTTCGTCGAGATCAGCATGCGCGAGTTTGCCCGTCTTGTATATTTCATCCAATTTGGCGGCGACCTTTTCGTCGAGCCCATATTCGATTAGTTTGTGGTAGTCTTCGGTACGTTCGACGTCCGACGAACCGTCGATCTTCATTGGCTCCTCCGGTACCTCACCATTTCCTTCTGCCATAGCTGCAACAAAAAGAAACCGTATGTCATTCAACTGTCATATATTGTCAATTAAATGTTTACCATTTACCCAGAAAAACAAACTAAATAATTCTTTCTGCGATCTAGACTTCCAAGAATAATTTGGAAAATACCAAATATATTTTGAAAATTTCGTGTTTAAAAATCTGAAGAGAAAAACTGTACAGTTGAATTTTACAACGTAATTATATTCTATTTTTCAAAAGCTTCCACAATAGGATATTATATTTTCAATTTGCAGCACGATCAATTTATTAAAGAAATGTAGTCAAGTAGATTGACTCAGTACTTCCATTGCAATGATGCAAATTGTATAGCCTGTGTTGCCTGTAGCTAGATGTACGATTCTATGCATTATTGGAAATAAGAGAAATATGACACGCTTAATTTTGAAAATTTCAAGCTACATAAAAAATGTTTTGACATCTAGAAGCTAACAAGAAAATTTAAAATGTCTAAAAAACGATTTTTTTGGTATAATCCTGTCGCTGACCCTTCGAAGAATTTTTTTGCTACTATACCCCAAAGATTATCAATAAACCCAAAAAAGAAGTTCCGTATCGTTGTAAAATTTCCCACTCATAAATCCGCTGCCACTGGACCGATTTTCAAAACCTACGTCTACGCTTATGGCATGATGTTTTTATTGCAAGATTTCATCAATATCTGAGCAGTACTTTCTGCGAGGGATCAAGAATTACCGGATAAACAGGGCGGGGGACCGATGCAAAAAACGACATGGTTTTTGGTGATGTATATGTTATGAAACATTCAAGAAACAGAGCTTGATTTCGCGATAGTTAGTAATTGTCCTAGTAGTAAAAAATAAAAAAAAATTTTGATTTTTCTAAGAATGGTTTCAAAAATGTAAAGTTTGATAAAAAAAAGTTAAGCTACCCTCTCACATACCGGTATCGAACGAGTCGTCTGAAATTCAAAATCACGCACGCAGTTCCGTTTTGAGATAGTATCGATCTACCCAATATGTATAATAACTACAACTCGACTTGAACGGGAACAGTGCGTGTGAGTAGTATGTAGATGAGAGATTTTTTTTTCGTTTACACTCGAGAATATAATCCTGTTGTAAAATCCGTCTACGACATTTTTTCGTTTTTTGTTAGCCTAATTTATATATCGATCTCCAATGACTCGAATTACGGTACTGCAAAATTACTTTGTTGTTAACGTTTGGGATACTTCAATAGACCATGTCAAAGTACAGTGTAAAATTATACTAGGAAGCATAAACACATGCAAGTTGCAATATAAATATGTGATAAGGCATGCAGTCAAATCCGTTTCTTATATATAAACCGGGCATCCACGGTGCAATCCTTTTTATTCATTCATTCGTAAGGACCGATTACAATTTGCACGGTTGCATTTTGATTGGAGCATCTGTGACTGGAAGAGGTATGTTTCAGTGACGAATCCAAGTTCAATATGTTTGGATCAGATGGTGTTCATTACGTTAGACGTCCTAGTGGACACAGATTGAAACCCAAGTACACTTTGCCCACTGTCAAACATGGAGGCGGATCTGTTATGGTTTGGGGGTGCTTTTCGGGGTTTGGGATGGGACCTTTACATATACTAAGTGACATATAAATCCGAACACCCAATTTAAATGGTTTTATTTTAATAAAATTTTGTATAAGTACTTAATGAAGCATAATAAGTAAATGATAAAAATTTCAAAATGATTGCACTGCTTTAAAGCCCTTTGACCTTTAATAATGTGTGGATGCACCCTGATGTGCTACGCATTCTCCAACGCGCCTAGGCATGCTTCTGATCAGGTGGTCAATGTCCTCCTGTGGTATCTCATTCCAGGCAACCACCAACTCCTCTCGAAGTGCTTCTAGAGTCTGAGGAGGACGTTGCAAATTGCGCAATCTCCTACTCATCAGATCCCACCCGTGCTCAATTGGGGATAAGTCGGGAGATCTTGGTGGCCATAGTAACAATGTGACATCATTATGTTGAAAGAAGTCTATTGTGACTCTTGCAACATGTGGTCGGGCATTATCTTGTTGGAAAGTTGGATCTGCCAGGGTGTCATGATAGGGTAAAACATGGGGTTCTAGAACTTCGTGGATATAACGCTGCGCGTTCATGTTACCTCTGATGAAGATTAAAGGTGACCTGGAACCATAAGCTATAGCACCCCAAACCATAACTCCAACAGTGTGATGAACATGTCTTTCAACAAAAAACTGTGGATTCCTCCTTTCACCACGTCGCCTTCTAACCCTGGCACGACTATCGTGCATGCCTAAACAAAATCGAGACTCGTCACTAAAGACAATACTGTTCCATTCCTGATCCCAGAGTGACCGTTGTCTGCACCACTCAAGGCGATTTCGTCGGTGTTCTCGAGTTAAAGGGAGGACCCAGTGTGGCCGGTATGAAAACTAGCCAAAACTTCTCATTCGTCGGTAAACACTTCGCATGCCAATAGGTCTTCCGTGTTCTGCAAATCATTCATTTGCAATGGACCTGGTAGTGGAGAAACGGTCCCTTAAGGCCAATAATCTTAGGCGGCGATCTTCACGGTCTGTTGTTCTACGGGGGCGTCCAGTGCCCCTTGCTCTTTGCGTACGGCCTTCTCGAAGCCATGCCTGACAACACCTAACCACAGTGTCTACACTTCTTTGCACTCTAACTGCAATTGCCCGAAAAGAAAGTCCAGCTTCCCCAAGTCCCACTATACGGCCCCTATCAAACTCACTAAGTTGACGAAATCGTACAGGTCTCCGTACTCTAGGCATCGTAACCGATCGTAAAGGATGTCAAGAACCAAAATCCGCCAACGTTGATTCTTTACTGCGGCTGAAATATTCATTTTTAGAGCGTTAGTGAATTAAAAAAAAGCAGTATAAAAACCGGAATGTCCAACTGATAAGGCTGAAAATTTTTTCACTTGTTATTTACAGTAAGATAAATACATTCACCAACTTTTATTAAAATAAAACCATTTAAACTGGGTGTTCGGATTTATATGTCACTTAGTATAGAATAGATGGCATTATGGATAAGTTTGTATGCACAGACATACTAAAGCATGTCATGTTACCCTATATGGAAGACAATATGCCCTTAAGATCAATCCTCCAGCAAGATAATGACCCGAAGCACACTTCAAATCTCACAAAGAAATTCTTTCTGGATGAAAAAATACCAGTTCTCAAATGGCCTTTGCAGTCTCCCGATATAAACCCCATTGAAAATCTATGGGAACACTTGTATAAGCAAATACGAGATAAAAATTATCCAAACAAGGATGAACTTTTTGCCGCTTTAGAGCGAAAGTGGAGACATATTGATGAATCTTATATCAAGAAACTTCTACAACCTATGCCGAGACGATGCAAGGCGGTGATTGATAATAATGGTTATGCTACAAGATATTAACACAAACATGGTAGGTTTTCTATAATTCAATGAACTTTGCTTCTTTTTTCTATAATTGTTTTGCTTTATCTATATATTTTTGTCCATAGTTCCAGTTTTTTCAATTAATTTTTTATTGAAGGGAGTCTAATGAATTTATTTATGTATAAGTGAATATTATACTATAACGAATTATGTATACAGGTTGGTGTATTAATAAAACAAGTTAAAAAAGAAATACAGCACAATATTAATTTGTCTATATACTTTTGTCCATTACTGTACATAATTGCAAACAATATTGCCAAGATATAGTCGAGATATAGCCGATATATCCAGATATCTGACCCGTATTACATAATAACTTAAAAAGTGGCATTGTGGTATATGGATTTTTTTGGCATATGAAGTCTCTATAAAAATATCACCTTTGAAATAGGACATTTGCTTCATGCTCACTTTACGAAATAGGACATTTACTTCATGCTCACTTAACGAAATAAACCTGCGGCTCGCAAAATATTGTCCGTTCGGATGTTCCAATAATTATAAACTTGAGCACCCTGTACAAACGCCTATTTTGCATAATGCGTATTCATCACTTGGGCACAGCAGCGCAGATAACTTGTCAGCTCCCCAAATTATACAGGTGTTTCTAAATTGTGGATCGAGTTCAGCAAACCACTAATCAAACAAACACCTTCAAATTAATGATCGTCATTCGACTTCAGAGAACCGTTTAATTAGTATCAACCTTAGCTTATAATCTGAACGGACATCATAATTTGGGCGAGGCTCTGATTACAAAATACCCGGTGTTGTGTTTGAAATGTGAAACAATGATAAAATCGGTTCCTGTATTTGAATTCGCTGTTTTTTATTATAACAATTTTCAAAACCGCCTCAAAACTTTCCGGATACGAACACCGAATGTTCAAACAATTATTATACACGTATTGATGATTGCCTATAATACGCAAATAAAATAATCGGTATGTGTCGTGTGTGAAAATAAAGATTGTTCGGTTCGAACGAGACGAGACAAACATATACAAATTTCATGGGTCGTCGGCATTTGTTTGAATAGCCGATTTCGGCCATTGACACATTTCAAATGTTAATGACCGTGATCCGCAGCCCGAGAGATGTTTTCGCCATTATTTGTGCCTGCTGTCTGTCCTTTTCCGTTGTTCCTAGTAATCGAGAATATCCACGTTTATGCTCGTAAATATGGTAGCCATAAAAATAACGGTTTGAAGCTATGAAATATTAACTTCTTGGATGGATTCGAAACCGAAAGGGTTTATTAATTTATGGAAGGCAGTCCTCCATAATAAAATAAATCATCACCTTGCTGATCAATAACGGAAGCAAAGGAGACATTAAACATAAAATGAATAAATACCCTATCTATTGGATAAACGTTTTTCGTTGAATTCTGCATCATTAGGAATTCTTACTGATAGGAACTTGAATATTTCAAACGTACTTCAGCAGAACAATAACTTCTAAAATCCAGTCGTCAGATTCATTTTTAAGCTGACTTTGCCTGTGCGGGAAATATAAAGTCAATCTACTTTATACCT